GGTATTTCGCGCTCCTGTACGCCATCCGCCGTGTAGTTGCAGCGCTCGGAATATGAAACTCGGAGCGTCAGATAGGGGTAAAGGAGGGCGGAATTCACGCGCCTAAGGATTGCGCTTTCCCGCTGAACGATGAGCTTCCACTACGCCGACCACCTCGACGATCAGCACCGACGCTATGTTTGCACATAGAAGGAACCGCGACCGGCACCGCTCCTCGACCTGTGATTTGTCTGTCCGGTGCGGTTGCTCCCTTAGTTCCCCACCTCTGTTACGTCACGGCGCGGTGGTGGCGCGTCGGGCGCACTTCCGGTCTGGGGCTGTGGGCGGAAGCGGCCGCGGGGCACGTGCCTTCTCGTGTTACTTCGGAACAAACCAGACAAAGACTTGCCTTCTTGTCAAAACGCCGCTACTGGGGCTTTACCAAGAGTCGGGAAAGGTTTGAAGGTAGCTAAGTGGTGTTGGTTACGACGTTTTTCTTTCACATTCATCGCATTAAAAACTGTGCTAAAACGGCTTCGTACGTGTATTTATTTGCACTGTCGGACACTGTCAGCGCGAACACGTCGGCGCGTTTCAGCATGAGGGATATACGTGCCAAACGAACGAAGACGCCAAGAACTACGCAGTAACACTGGGTCAGTAACTACACGTGCATGTACGATCAAAATAAATTAAAGGCCACGTAATCTATTCCGATTTCAAATAAGTAAGTACCGCTCTTTCTGCAAGCGCGACAACCGCTGCGAGTCTGCGCAAGCAGAGCACGAGGCGAAACGAGCTGTCTCATGCACTGGCATCTGTTTCCTGTGAACTAATAGGCGCGTTCGATTTAGAAGAAAGTGCAGTGAGAGTCTAGGGGCAGGGCAGAGTCAGTATAGTTGCGGTGTAGGAATGGTGCCCCCGGTGTGGCGGTGGTGCAGTTCCACTGCGCACTGCCTAATCGAACAAAAACGTACTTCATCCTCGCGCTATCGTCTGCTATCGTCGTCTGCTGTCATGCACCCGCCTACACCGTCAAAACGAGCGAGTGCAGAAAGTGTACGCCAGGAGTGGAAATGGTGCTACACCTTCGCGAATTGAACAGCGTGGTGCAGACTCTCACGCGAATGCGCTCGGGGCTACACTTCTGCACCAGTGCACGACCCGCACCGGTGCAGGATGTGTAGGTAAATCGAACGCGCCTATTGTCCTGGATCTTAGGAAAGTAAAGCCCCTCTATGTGTTTGTCTTGCTAGTCGCGTCCAAAAGTGCCAGTGCACGATGTCCGTGTCTCGAGCGACCTTTCGAAGCAAGTGGTGACGCAGCACTGTTTTGAAGCGTTCTTCCGCAGAACGGGGACTCGTGCTGCCATCTTTGTCTGCTGGGCTATGGAACGCTTCCTGGGCATGCGCTGTTGCTCACAGCTCAGTGACTCAGCATTTTTCGGCACTACACGTTGCGCCATCCCGTGGCTGCAAAATAAAATACTGGGTCGGCCAGGACGGCCCGGGTCGCGGGGACTCGGGCAGGCGCATTTAGAAACCACGTGTGAACATGGCATGCCGAATAGGCGTGAACCTTTTTGGGAACCGTTTTTTTTTTTTTTTTTTTTTTTTGTAAAAGTAAGTCCCGGCTTCACGTCTATATGACCTCACCGGGTTTTTGTGAAATCTCGCCTACTCCTAGAGGTCGCCCCAAAAAATAAACGTAGCTATCTGCATGCTGCGTGTAATGAGTTTTACATTAGTTGTTGGAAAGAGACAAAAATAGATGTGCAGGCTTGAATATTGCTTTGACGAACTCGCTTTGCAGACTACTCGACGAAATAACATATTTATAGAAGTTATTTTGCAAGTCAGTTATACAGCCACATAGGGAAATACGGTAGGAATAGTTGGGCCGATTGTTGCTTCGCTGTGACGTCGAGAATCAGGCGATCAGGGCTTCAAGCGAGGAGCCAGTTGGCCCGTTCTGGCACTCGTGGTTGTACGCATGCATAACTGTTCGGCACGCTTGATCGCAACCAAAACCTTCCAAAACTGTGAAATCTCAAATAGTGAATTTTCGTAGCACATAAAGTTTTGTTTGTTTCGTTAACCAAATTTAATGCTGAATCTGGTTTTAAAAAAGATGCAACGGCGTGCAGGAAACAGGATGCAAAAGTTTTTCTTTAGAAAAAGCTAATGCGTAGCGAAAATATCGTTCCCACACGTACACTTTAATTGTGCTTGCTTTGTTGCGAGACACATCTAGTTGTAATATCTCAGTCGTCTAATTCCCGAACCTGATACACGTGGTCGTAAAACCGCGTAAAAGAATATGGGACATGGTGCGCACGTGCACACGCGAATATGGGAAATGGTGCGCACGTGCGCACGTGCACACGGCTGGCTTGCGAACGCGCGTGCAAGAAGCAATTTGCTTCAGGCATTTGCTTTAGAAAAGTTATTACTGCTGAGGCCTGCACGTGCGGCGCGTGGAACACCAATCCCTGCATTCTAATAGACCTATTGCTATATTACCCAAGCATCAAGGAGAATGCCGGGATTGGTGTTCCACGCGCCGCACGTGCTGGCCTCAGCAGTAGTAAAGTTTCGAAAGCAAAAACCTAAAACAAATTGTACCTTGCACGCGCGTTCGTCAACGCTTTATTTTGCTAATTTACTTCGAATATTTTATACGGGGAAGGCGTGCGCGTGTGGGCGCGTGGAACACCAATCTCTGCATTCTCCTTGATGCTTGTGTAATATAGTAAATGGTTTATTGATGCTTGGGTAATTCAGCAATAGTTCTATTGCGAAGGCTGTGCAAGCGCGAGTGGCAACCCTTGACTGCAGTCGCTGCACGAGCGCTCGTGCGGCCGCCGAGGTTTCATCCAAAGCAACTAACTGGCGCTTTTAGCATGCGCGGCTAACAATAGTCCCGCCGCCATGTTCTTGCTCGTGCGAGCAAGCATGTGCAAGTGCAAGCCTGCCAAAGCTACCTTCCCAAGCACGCTCCACGTGTTTGCTCGCATGAAGCGCAGCGCGACGGATGGGTTAACGCGCGCCCCCGTTATTCGCTAAACCGACCATTCGCTCAAATGTCGCCGTTCGCTAAAATGTCATTCGCTCTTGTGATATGGACCCGAATGCACGTGGTCCTGCATCGTGCGGCCCTTGGGAGGAAGTGTATGCAGAACAATGGTTGTGTTCTCGCATACTTGTAAGCAACGCGAAGCGGGAATTTCATCGAGGGTCTTTGTCAAGAATCAATGAAATAATGAAAATACTTAGGGACAAGGACAAAAAGCACAGTTATTTATTTGATTATTGTATTTTCACCAACCCGCTCATTGTTCTTGGCTTTATCAAGGAGTAAATGCCGCTATCATTCCCGCTTCGCTTTTCTCTCAAGTACCGATAACCACTGTTTCTATGGCAGTGACCAAGGAGCTTGATGGTCCGGAGGTCGGGTGCTCTTTTTTTAACGCTGGATAAGGATCGTGTTATCGATCACTCCAAACACTCAGTCCTCGATGGGTCAAAACGGCAAACTAGCCAATCAAGAGAAAAGTAAGTGTGCAAATGAGTGGGGGCTCTAGACTCATCCAAGACAAAGTTGGAAACGAAAGTTCATGGAGCGCGCCGATTCGGCTTCGGCGAAAAAAAGCGAGGCGTCATCGCCGTCAGAGTTCAATCGGTTCGCTCGATAAACTTCAGCCCCAACTTTGTGCTTGACGAGTCTAGAGACGCTGGTATAAATTGAACATATTAATTACGAAAAAGTATGTGGGTAACAAAAGGGAACCAAGGCACGAAGACTTCGTGCTGGTCCTGACTCGGTTCGTCTTATGGTTTTTCGTAATTATGTTCGAAGTAGTCAAATTTGTAGTTCTTTTTTGGAATACATGAAATGCTTATAACCTCCGCAATTTTAGTTGTGTTGATAGATGAAATGTACGAAATATTTGTCCGCCAGGAAGCACAAGTTGGAAACGGATCTGTAGTCTTTACGCAGCTATTTTCTCCACAGAAGCCGAAAAAAAAAAAAAATGACACGGTGTAGAAGATTTAGGTAAAGAAAATGCAAGGGTCTAAGAAATTATTATAATGGCTGTGAACTTGTGCGAGTCTTAACTTAATGAGCCAGGGAAAAATAGTGTTTATTTTGTGGATGTGGATGGTTGAGCGTGTCGGTGTCTAAATTATGATAACGAAAGGGGGGCATGAAAGACAAATAGACGACACAGGCTTTCGACTTGCAACAAATCGTTTCTGGCTTGACTCCCGAAGCTCTACGGGGAAGCGTCACGGAGGGTGGGGTGTGGCACGGAGCCATTTGACTTTGCTAGCAGTGCGTGCACGGCTGAAAGTGGGCGTCTACTGGTCCACGAGGAAAGGTTGCGGTAAAAGAAGAAAAAAAAAACAAAAAAAAAAATGTTTTCTTTTTTTTTATGTCTTTGGATTTGAGGAGAGAGGGTTCCTCTCCTCTCGCAGCAAGAACCGAACCTCTCGATCCGAAAGAGAGAGGCAAGGGCTGGACAGGTTCTAGCTAGACACAAGATTTAATGTGTGGGAATTCTATAATTTCCTTGCCAAATCGAAATTGGAGGCCCTCCCTATTGGTGTCTTCTTTTGTGAAGTGAGACCCCTGACGTTAGCTTTGAATGAAGATCGCAGTCTACGGCTGTGTTAGGCAAATGACACTTCATTTGGGGTGACTTGACCCTAGCTGTCTCGTTATAAAACATTTTTTTTTGTGTGTGTGTGAGTGTATGTGTCTGCATGCATACAATTTGGCTGGGGTTACAGGTAAAGTCCCTCTATCCTGGGAAAAGTGGCGCCATTCATTGTTGTAGAAATGCTCGAGGCACGCGCCGCGCGCCACTTCTGGAAAATTCATGGCGTGTGAAATCTAGCTCACTGCTGCGCTGTGCCGCCATGATCCTCCCAAAGGCTGCACGTTACACGTGCCTCGTGCATCGACGCACCTTGCGCTACTTGTTACAGGGCCCACAAATTTGTACGCAAAGAAACAGCTCCTCGATGACTTGCCCGTTTATTTGCACGGGTTTCCAGCCCAACTGTATGTAGAGGCCATTGAGATGCCTCACTGGCATATGAATGAATAGGTCATTGGCCTGTGGCCGTGCGAGTATGTGCTACAGGTCCAGCAGATTACACGAGGTCCGTGTGTATCCGCAGCCTCGGGCTCGTAGCCTCGATGCGCTTGACAGCCTCGAAGTAGCGGGGGCTCGGGTTGCTGGGGACGGGTACTAGGAGCTGCACAAGTAAGGGCAGACAGCTGCCGGCCTCCACATCGGTCATTAAGTCCGCCAGCGTGTCCTCGGATAGCTTGTTCCAGGTAAGGTCGAGCCAGCGCAGCTGCTCGCCCGATGCCTTGAGAGCGTCCCAAACGACATGGAAGCCTTCGGACCTCAGGTCGCAGTTTGACAGCAAGACGACGCGGAGGCGACCCAGAGTCTGCAGCACGGCCGCCAGTTCGGGGATCAGGCCGGACAAGTTGTTATCGGACAGCGCCAGTCTCTCGAGGTTCTCGAAGCCTTCGAGAACCCGCACATCTTGTCGGCGCAGCCCGCACGCGCTCACGTCCAGGTGGTCCAACTGTCGGTAGCAGCGCGACAGCAGGGTGTTCAGGTAGCCCCCGATACGGCAGCTCTTGAGGCTGAGCCGGCGCAGCTGAGGTAGGGTCCTTATCGTGTCTGCCAAGGAATCGTAGTGGTGGGCGTCCCCGCGACGGACGCCGTTGGACGAGATGTCGAGCGCCACCAGACCGCGAAGCCGCCGCAGCCGCTCGCATATGTGCAGGAGTCCCTCGTTCTGGAGCGAGTTGTAGGCGACGCTGAGCCCCACGAGCAGCTCGGCCTCCAGCATGTCCAGCAGCTCGGTGAGCTTGGACTCGCCGATGCCCTCCACTTCAAGGTTGGCGACGTCGATCCGCAACGCGCGCCTGTCGTGCTTGAGCATGGTGCAGAAGACGCCGAAGGTGGACTCTTCGCCCACAAGAAAGTCGCAGCGGAGGGAGCGACCGCCGCGATCCACGGGCCGCCTCTTGGAGTAGACCTTCATCTTACGCACGATAAACTCGATCAGTTCCCGGCCGCACTGGAAGCCCGTCACGTCCAGCCGGCGAAGCCGCGCGGCCACCTCTCCCCCCAGCGCCATTTCGACGAAGAATCTCACGATGGCGGCGACGGCGGCCAGGCGTCCTGGATGCTGTCCCAGCGGACAAGCGGTCCCCAGCACGGCTTGCAGGTCGAGCTCATCGCCTGGCCAAACAGATACCAGAAGCTGCGCGGCTCGGTCACGTCCATCCTCGACGGCCCTGGCGAGCAGCGGGGCCGCGAAGTAGTGAGGCACCGATGGTAGTAGCCGGCAAAGGCTCCGGGCGTCCCGTACCAGGACGTCACAGCAGGTGCTCTTGAGACTCTGCACCAGGCCGACCGGGGCCCGGCACCAGCAGTAGCCATAGAGGGTTTCGTGTGGAATCCTGTGCGACGCTGACTCGCGGACGCCTTCTAACGTCGCCATGGCCGATCGCGAGCCTCATTGCACTCACTAGATACCTTTTTGCCAGCGATCCTCTTTGTCCGTTCTTCAGTCTTCACCTGCGAACCTACCTACAGCTCTCTGTTCCTTCGCTTCATTTCTCACCGTTCGTGCTCTGACAACGAAGGCCTCGCGCGCTTGTGGAATAAAGGGGATGAAGACCGCTGCTACGGCCGCTGCTACATCTTCAGCTCCTCGACAGAAGCGGTGAGTCCCCGGTGAGTCCACAACCAAAAGACCAAATTGACCAAATCGGCGAGTCTGGCACAGGCAGGTCATAGAGTAATATAGTAAACGTAAAGAGAGGACACAGGAGCCGATTCGCGGCCCAGATAGTGCGTTTAATACCCTCCGCTACGTGGCGCATTTCTGCAATTTGGTTAAAACTAATTAAAACTTTTTTGTGAAAAGTATTTATTTTTTAAATGGCAGTGTTTTAAAATTATTTAAAGTACTTAAAACGACTAAATAGTTTAAATCAAATACGTCCAAAAACCACGTGATGAATGGCGCCTGCCATGGCCTGCCTGCCTGCACGCCGTCGCCTCCGCATCATTCTGCATGGCCTCTGCTCGTCCCTGCGTCGTTCGTCTGTGCCGTGCGTGCCGTCCATCTGTGCTTTCTGCTGCATCATGTTCGGTCGACTTTGCATCAATCAAGGTGACGCATGACCGCCCACGTGCTCGCATGCTCGGCGTGAATTCGTGGAGCCGATCGGTTCGAGCTTCTCGCGCTGTTGTTTCTGCCAGGTTGTCTGGCTGCACTTGAACGTGTGTGCATGTTGATATTCGATGAGATTGTTTAAAAAAAAAGAATTTAACTTACGACCCTGCACACGACATCGTCCATGGGTTTACAAATGACGGTGTTGAACGAACGTCTAACATTGCAGATAGAGCCTTGGTTGTTATGCTGTCTGAAGTTTAAAGGAGGTGCGTTTGGCCCTTTGCATACACTGTTGTGCACACTCCAACAACGTCTTCTGTTCAACACAGTCTCCTCATTTCTCTCATTCGGGAGCTTAAGACTGTTGGCTTCACAGTAAAGGCTGTGGTCTGTGGTTAGGGGGCTTTAAACGTAAGCTTGGTGTGTGTGTTGATAAGCCATTCTTTGAAGTTGACAACGAACACGTTTACTTTGTCTTTGATGTTCCGCACCTTCCCAAAACAACCAAGAGCAATCTCCAAGCCCACAAACTTTGCATTGGAAATGAGGTCATTGAGTATTGGTGGTCTTCTATTGTTGAACTTTATTGTTCTGTCCATGAGATAAGCTTGCAATTGGCCACGAAACTTACTGAGAGACACATTTTTTCAAGAACCTTTCTGTAACATGGAAGAAAATTGTGCCCCACAGGTACTGAGTGCCTCACTCTTTCTTGCAATCATATCCCTTGTTTATGCCAAGAAACTTCCTGAGGCAGCCATGGCTACAGCCTATTTCTGTGATAGGATGTGCATACATCTTGATTGTCTAAATAGCTAAAGAACATCAAGAAGACAGGGCAGAAGTTGCGTTATGCCATTCTGAAGGGAGAATCTGAAATACTTGATTTTCTCCACCAGTAACTCGGATGGATTTCGACATGGCAGTTCCAAAGTAGGAGGCCGCCATAAGCCATAATTGGGTGGCAAGTTACTATAAAAAGTCTCCTCACGCTCTGGGATGAGCTTTCAAGCAGCCATGACTTTAAGTTCTTACTTACACGACGCCTGCAGCAAGACATACTTGAGAACGTTTTTGGAGCCATACACGACAAATGCTGGGCTGCAACACAAACCCAAACGTGCATCAGTTCACCTCCAGGACTAAAACACCTCTCGATAAAGAAACTGTTGAAACTGTCGGACAATGAAAACGTAGAGGATGACAAGGCTGACCTCCTAAAGGAGTTGCAAATATCTTCGCACCATGAAAGTTTAACTTCAGACATTGTGGAATGTCTTCCAATAGATAACTTCCCGCCACTAGAGGATATTTCTGAGCTGGCATCAGACATCAGGTCTAACATATTTGATGACTCGTCCACTTTTTTATTACGTTTGGGGCTATTTGATCAAGCTTTTGCTTGAACAGGCAACTTACAGCTGTGGCTGTTCTCAGCTGGTATAGGATGAGTCTAATAACTTGACCAGGCCTCACCAGTACTGTCTTGTTCCTAAAGCATACCACGTGCCTGGAAAATTCTTAGGGAACTTAGTAGTACCATCACAGGCTGCCTTTTATTTCATTCCGCAACTAGAAAATCATTTTCTTCCCGTAATAGAGAGTGTAACACATGTCCGAGGAGTGTGTGCCGCCTTGTATAGCACACTTTGAGGTCTGGGTGGTTTCAGCCTTTGCCCAGAGGAGTACCACAAAGGGTTTTTAAAATTGTTTTGCAGAATACGCTTGTGTTGACATGTTTGATTTCTTTAACCGGAATTTGGACAAAGTTCGGTTGCACTCTTTAGTGTCTAGTAAGCAACGAGACAGGTTTAACTGTTAATAGTGTATTACCAGAGGCGGTTGCCAAACCAAAAACAAAAAGTGCTTATTAAGTGGGCGGTGCAGCTTGCTCTCCAAATATTTGTTTCCCCTCTTTTCCAGCGAATGTGTATCACGGCTCCCTAACAAAAATATTAGTCCACTTTCTACAAAATTTCGATAGAATATAGTGTATAGAGGCTAAAAGTATTTGAAAGAAAGTGTATCCACTTTTGGATCCACTGTCCATAGTTTTTTAGCCGCTTTTTTCTGAAGCCATATTTCTTTTCTGAACAATTTTTGGGAATGTTTAGGGACGTTGAATCTTGTCAGATTTCGAATAGAGTTCTCATTGTTTGGTAATGGCTCGCCCCCAGTGAGTTTGAGGCTATGCAAATTGGTGTTTTTTTATATTTGCCGGAAATCGGGAATTTGTACTATCCGGTGTGTGCTTCACACTGTTATTATACTCTTATGACTGGTAATGGGAGCGATGTCTTATTTATTTTTGCACTTGCTTCCCGTACCCGAGTTGGCGTGAAAGTGAATGTATCATACAGCATGTTCTCCGTGGAAAGGTTTTGTTAACTTGGTTCCGCTAAGAATCTATTACGAAGTGTACGATATGCCGAAGTCCTTCATATTCATTTATTTTTGTGAGTATCGATCTCTTTCGTATAAAACATACAGAACTTCTGAAGTAAATAATGTATACATGAATGTGGTCCAATAAAATGTGTTCGAACCACTTACTGTTGATGACCCCAAAATGCACCACCAGCCAGGAGTCAATGCGGCGATTGTGTAACTTCAATGCTTTACAATAGAAAAACGAACAAGAAATATATATACTTCTGCTTTGTGAAGTAAGTTGAAATATTGTTTGACACATTTTGCACGGACTCTATCGTAAAAAAATAAAGCAAAAGTGCGTCATATTAAAAAAAAAAGAAACTAAAAATAACAGCGGCTTCGGGAGTCAAGGAGCTCCCGAGAGCCGAGCGAGGCGGGGAGGGAAGAGAGAGAGAAGGGTACCGGAGAACCAAAGCAGAAACGCCCAACCGAAACTAACTTGACCGGAAACGGAATCAGATTATGTTTAATACCGCCCGCTAAGAGCGCTACCTGTCACTGGTCTATCTGGGCCGCTGGGGCCTATGGCGGTGTCCGCTCTTTACCTTGTGTATATTACTCTATGGGCAGGTCAGCGACGCGAGTGGCGGCGGCGAGAGTAACGGATTCAATTGGATTGGATTTCTTTCTAACGGGCGGTCACTCACCGGAAGTTACGGTGGTAACTAAATAAAAGCATCCTTGAATCGGGCGTCATCTTGCGCCACCCAGCCGAAAGCCCGCTTTATTATTTGTATATTTTTCGGAAATCAGTCACATTCTTCGTTGTTTTGTAAGCTCCTGTTCGAAATTTCCAAGAAAAACTTTTATTTTCTTGTTGCATATATATTTGACTGCCTTTCGTTTTCGTAAATTTTTTCCCCACCATCTTGGTGGGGAAAAAATTGCTCTCCTTGCTCTCAGAGCTTCGGAGGTGTGAATGGACGGGGTGTCCATTCACACCTTTGAAGCTCTGAGAGCAAGGAGAGCAACGTCTGAGAGGGTCTTTCTAAACCAGTCGCACCAAGATCACCATGTTCCTTGCCAATGTAAACGTCACTGGCAATATGTATGCAACCAACTTATCAATCATGCCCATCTCTACGGTTCTCTTACAATGATAGCGTTTTTCTAGTGAATTGAATTATTTTTCAGTGCCTCTAAGCATCGACACCGCATTTGGTGGTGTCAATGCATGTATCTTGTTCGGCAGTTGTGTTGATAACAAAATCTCGGTATACAAGAAACATCTCTATAAAGCTAACCGTCACCAACGAATTTAGATTGGATCACCAAGAATGAGAGGTCCAGAAGAAATTGCTTATTTCGTGAACCAAAATGTTGACCATACGGGAAGCTTGACGCTACTTTCCTAGAATCCAGCAACTTTAGTCGTTGGGAAGCCATCTTCCTCTTTTGCTTGGCCAGAATGAGGACAGGGGCATATCAAATTCATTTCCTCTAAAACAGAGATTTCTGCAGCAGGCGGCATGGACGCAGCTGTCCATCTCCACAATTAAAAATTGAGACTTCCTCAGCTTTAGCCGAGGTGTTAGGAAGCTCAGGTAATATCACTTTGCTCGGTCGCAGACCGTTTTAACATTTCTCAAGAACAGAAGAGTTTCTTGAGATTCCACATAAGCTTTACATAACTAGACACTATGATTTTAAGTGCCGTTACTCTGAAGCGTAGCTTATTTACTGGCTCTAGTTTTCTCTACCTTACCTCTCAAATTTTATTTTGCTGCTTCCTTCCCACCAATTCTGCACATCTCCATCTGGATTGAAGTTTTTCTGTTGGTGCCCAGTGCCAGCATGGTGACGATCATGGGCGTACCAACCAGGGGAGCAAGGGGGGCGCTTGCTCCCCCATCTCTCAGAGTGGGGGGGGGGTAAGGCATATGTGTTGTGCCCCCCCCCCCCCCCCCAAAAAAAAAGAAACAGCCACCACTGGGCAGGGCAAACACTGGCTGGCGGCACCCAAAGGATACCAAGGGCACCCCCCCCCCCTCTCTCCTCTCCTCCCCGCCCCCCCCCCCCCCGAAACAGCCGCCACTGGGCAGGGCAAACACTGGCCGGCGGAGGCGCCCAAAGGATACCAAGGGCACCGCCCCTCGGTCCTGTGGGGGGGGGGGGGGGAGGGGTCTGGTTTGCCCCCGCCCCCCCCCCCCACTAAAAAACAAGTTGTTACACTGCTGGTGACGATCAGTTCGTCGAACAAGGTTTCATCAATTTTCGTCGACACTGCGGCATTTTGCGACGTTTAGTCAAAAGCACCACTTCGTGCACATCACCTTGGTCGCTGGCATCCAGATGGTAACTTGGCTTGCTGAACCCTTGGTGGTTCCGACAAGGAATGACATAAAGGGATACTACAACGAAATTTCGGCACTCATTTTTTGGTCTATATGTGTTCAAAGGAGCAGCATCACATTGAACATACCAATAACTTGTTAAAAAAGTCACGAAAAGGAATTTTAAAACAAATTAAATGATTATAGCAAAGAGCACCTGGTGGATGTCGCTAACGCCTCGCTTGTAATGCCTGTCTAGGAACCTTGACAGCTAGTGACGGTGAGTGTCTCGCGTCCGGCCACAACGAGAGAAGGGGGGAAGGAGGAACTCCCCTCTTCCCGAGAATGCCTTTTGTGTGTCGCAGAAGTCGCTATTGTCCCCCTACAAGATTACAGAAGATTAACCCGTCACTCAAAATTTGGACAAGAGCAGCCGCTTCGGTGGCTGGAACGACTAGGCCATCCTCTCGACGTCAGCCTCGCCGTAGCTTTGCTCGTCCTGAGACGACCTACGTCACAATTGCGTTGGATGTCACGTGGTTTCCGCTGGGCCTTCTCCGAGCGCTTGCCAGAATGGGCCGTTTATAACGAAAAATACAGCCACCAGGCTCAAAATACAAACGTGCGATTGTCATTTACAGATATTGTGGATCATATTCAACCTATTTTTGAACACGACGGGAATATTTCAAATTTCGTTGAAGTATCCCTTTAAGCTCGAGCTCAAGACTATAATTTATTTTCTCCAAGCGGAGCGGAGTTAGCTGTTTGACATTGGGGATGCCTATAGCATTTATTTCAGTGAAAAAAAAAAAAAAAAAAAAAAAACTTATCGGCAAGAAAAAAACAATATTCTCTGTCTTGACGCAAGGTATTTTTTACGGCCATAGGTGCCACATGCATCCACGCCCGTTCTTGTTTCGACGATATTAAGCTAAGGTGGATGCCTGCTTATAGAGAAATTTAGTTTTATCTTTTAATCCAGGCTACATCACTTTCTGCGATGCAGTTTATACAAGGGGGCAGAAAAACTTCCTTTCACCCAGACCTTGTACACACCGTATTCCTTCAATAAGAGATATATACCTTCTGCCACCAATTTGTTTCAACACGAGCTGCACTGAACGGGGAAGTGAAAGAATGTAAAAAAAAATGTGCAAGTTGTTTTAATAGAAACAAAATGTTGGCAACGAAAGTATGGGAAAAAGAATTGCAAAACTGTTTCGGCCCGTCCCCTTTCATTTCTCTCCATTTCGTTACCAACAACCAGCATGGTGCCCCCTTCTACGATATTCAAGAGCAACCATATTTTAACTACCGTAAAATACCGGAGGAGCGTCCACCACGCTTTCACTGAAAGTTGAGTTAAACTAGACATGGGAGCTTGGAAAATTTTAACAGTTGGCTCTTGACCAGAGTGGGTGTTTCTGCGGTATTTTACGGTAGGATAACGCAGCCAAAATGTTTTTCAACGTATCCCTAAAGCTTTTCCTTTCCTTGTATGTTAGCATTATTCAGCTATAATTGCAGAGACAGCACGCCGTAGCCTTTTCCCTGCTAGCAACCAGCCAGTGGCAATTAGTTCATCGAACAACGTTTTATCAACAGCTTGTTTGATCGACACGTCTTGCGATCCTTTTGTTAAGCCCTTGTTGCCGGCATCTAGATTTCCATGAAGGCCTAGGCTGGCCGAACCCATGGTGGTTTCGACGAGGCTTCGTGCAAGCTCGAGCTCGAGATTATAATTGGGGTTCCATGTTCTCGATAAATACCGATGGACCCCGGTAATAACCCCCAAAACAATTTTCTCCGGGTTTGGAAAAAAAATATTTTTATCTGCATCATAGGTATATTTTTAGCCCAAACACAAATATTTGTTCTTGAGGTAGCATTTTTTTGGGGAGCCACATTCGTAGCCCAGTCTCCTCATTTCGATACCGGAATGATGTCTTTCAAGTACTTGGGTCACGGGTGCAAGTTCCAAAAACCCTGAAAGAAAAGAGGTCATGGTTGGGACAAAAGGGGGCCATTTGGGGTCACAAATTTATAGATAAGCAGTTGTTTAATAATGTTAGGCCAGATTTCATGCCTGGTGTTGAACGAAAAACACAGAAAAACACAGATTTTTAAAGAAATAATATCTGCCCCCCCCCCCCCTTAATTTGAAGAAAAACAAACCCCTGAAGCACGGAATCCTAAGATTCACTCTTCCGAAGCAGAGCGGAGCGAGTGGCTAATGTGCATGGCGCAATCCGTTTAGGAAGCCTAGGATTCAGGAATCACAAATTTCTTTTTCATGTACAGAAGCCGTCTGGGTTCCTCACTATAGTTCTGGTATACTCCCAGTAAACAAAATCCAGTCTACTTGGAAAAAAAAATTGCCGAAGAATACCGCGCATCCGCCCATTCCATATTAAGCACCCATATTCAAATTTTTAAGATCTGAGAAAATATGCACAGTACATATGTAAAATTGATGACCGGACAAGGGCCCGTCCCCCCTTTTTTCGCAATTATCTCTATATTTTGAGAGGACGCTTGCCCGGTATTTTACGGTAGTTGACACGAAACGAGTTCTCATAAAACGTCCTGTGCCAATGAAACAGTCCACAAAACATGCGTTATTGAAAAACATGTTTCGACAAAACAATATGGACCCCAACCAGCTGGTCAAACGTACGCTGCAAGAACCAGCTGTCCAACCGAGGATCGCGTCTCCATTTATTTGTCGTGGCGCTGGCGCCGGCCTCCTTCGCGATCTGCTGCGCCAGCCAGGTACCTGCTGATGCAGCGTTCAATGTCCACAATGTCCATCTTCGTGCGGGCCCGCACCGCAGCTGTAAGCGCAAACACGGTCAGAGACAACAAAGGCTGTTTGCCACAGTCGGATTTCCCAAATTCACCTATGGTAAATATTTTTGCTCCATGTTGAATAAATCTAAAGATGTCCCACACTAAAACAAAAGGACCAAGAAAAAATGAAAGACGTTTACAACTGTTTTGTCACGGTGACGTTTCGGCACGGTGATGTCACACGCGCCGATACGTCACGTGTCGACACGTCACCGTACCGAAACGTCCACGCGGTGCATTAAGGAGAAACGTCCCATAATGCACCGCGGTGACGTTTCGGCACGGTGCTGAAACGTCACTAAGGTGCATTATGGGACGTTTCCCATAATGCGGCGCGCGGCTACACCGACGGCAATGACAACGGCAACGCTGACGCCACTCAAGCCGGAAACAGGCACCTAGGAGCAGCACTCTAAAAGCATCTGGCCGTGGGGATCCAGGAGAACCCTTTCGTCATGCGGATATCTCATTACAACGTCCTCAGGACCTATGCTCCAATTCGCAATAACTTGGCGAACTGTGGAGGCTAGGGCCCCGCGACCCAATAAGAGCGTCGGAGCGAGGCACGTGACCTGATGTCACGGGAGCATTTGTGTCACCACGCCAAATGCGAAGCCCGGAGGAACCGGCTGTCATCTGCTAGCCAAGAGTCGTCTGCTCCGAAACCAACCAACTTCGGAAATGAACGTCCACCACAACAGCATATCCGTCCGCTAGAATAGCGCACACTTTGGGAACAGTTCATGAGACAACCATACGCTCAATTTAGCCATGAATCTGTGACGGGTGCTAATGTCAGGGCGCAGTGCGATGTTTTGAGCAGAAACGGCAATTACACGGCTGCCATCGCTTGGGATCGCCAACGGCCACGGCGCTACAATGCAAAAAAAATCGAGCGGATATCAAATGTGGCGTCACCTGTTTCGTTTAAATATAATTAAAATTCATACATTTGTGATTATTTATTTTTTATTCTTTAAATCTTCTAAGTCGGTTATTTACCGCGAAGCAATAACCTCTTCATTAGTTCCAGAAAAAAAATAGCGGTTGTTTGTAAAAAAAAAAAAAATAGTGTTGAGTGGAAAAAAAAAGCACCTTTTTGCAAAAGCCAGCACATGTAAAGAGAAACAGATACTTTGTCCTTTATGAAAATCAAGTTTACTCTAAGCGCTCGTTAACAAAAAAAAAAGTTTGTTTCCTTACAGGAACCCCGAAAACTGGCTGCAACAAACTGAGCGATTCTTCTGTCCAACACAAGACTGCGTCCTTCAAAGGGTCGCACATGTCTCCGAGAATGTGTTTTCATGTCCTTGCTTTACAGATTCCTGCCATCAGATGCCATAGGATAATGGCATCATTTTAGGTGCTGACAAGAACTAGCAGCAGAGTTTTTTTTTCTTCCTATGCAACTACTTCCCAGACTCTATGGTCCATTTGTAGCATGCTTCTTGCTTCATAGGCTGGAAGCCCAAACTGATCACTATCTTCACCGAGAGATGTGGTGGTTGAATGAATTAACTACCAATTTCTAAGATGCATTTCTTTTTTTTTTTTTGACATTATTGGATGAAAATTAAAAACGGACACTTGCTCTAACTTTGTAAACATGAGAAGTTCATTTGAAGTATTTAGATAACCAAGATATTGTTTAATGGTCCCAGTATTAAGAGTCTTGGTGGCTTGCTAGAGCTCAATGCAATGACTGGATGCTAGGTTAAAAAAAAGTCTCCTCTGCATTTGAGGTATCTATTGTTCTTTTCCAATCGATAAAAAGAGCAAAATGCACAAAAAACTGCTAAACAGCACATGCGCATAAAAAAATCGTGGGGGACACTTTTCGCCGAATTCACAAACCTCACTCCAATTGAGGCGCCCCTCCACTTCCTCAAGGAAGGTGCAAGGGCCGGCGCTGGCCGATTGCGAGGACGGATAAGTAGCTTAAACCGCCTATCCCTTGTGGCGATTGGCCAGTGCTGGTCCTCACACCTTCCTTGAGGAAGTGGAGGGGCACCTAAATTGAAGTGAGGTTTGTGAATTTGGCAGTAAAGCTTCGCATTTAAGAGTGGAACGAGGTAGCGTTATCGGGCCCTATTCGCAAAGCCTTCTCATACAAACCCGCGCTCCTTCCCAAGTGGTGCAAGCATATATGCGTGGTTCAGTCTGTGGCGCCACGTGTCGCATGAAGTCGTGACCCTATCGACCCGCTAAATTTAGCACAAAATCTTTTGCTAAATTTGGCGGAAATATTGTCCACTAAATTTGGCGGGAAAACGTTCCCACCAAATTTAACAGGTCCACAGAGTCACGACGTCACAGACATGTGCGACGTCACACGCGTGATGTGAAACGTTGCTGCGCGCATTGCATTATGGAATTTTATGGTCCTACCGACGCCGAATTTTCTTAGACACAAGCTCCTAAACGCTATCGCGTTAAAAAAGCAAGTTAAAATCTAACCCCCTTTTAAAGACAGTTTCCCTTCGAGCTCACCCTAGCAAAGCAAAAGTCGTTTTGGGAAGTTTATGTCCTAAACATCTCAGCAGAAAACTGGGGATTAATTTCGACGTAGAACCGAAGATTCAAGTTATATGGAACATTTTCCGTAGAGAGCTTTTGTGAGACTGCAGACACTTTGGCTGGCACCTTGCATCGGAGCCACTGAGGCGACTTGCCTGTTGCTACATTCTTGCCAAATTTGATAGCAATTACATGTTTCCTGTTGGCAAGAGCAATGCTGACATCACTGAAAACCATACCGATGATGGCAGTGCATAGCCTGGTGCCCCTGAAGGCCAGCTTGGGCGGCCTCCGTCCAAGAAGGCTGAACCTGCACTGGACGTCCTTCCTCAGTGTACGCTCCATGATGATCCGGGTCGTGTCCTTGAGCGAGTTGCCACCCAGCGACGACAGCCGTGCCAGCTGGCCAACAGTTAGGAATGGAAAGTTGCAACCATCAATCCCCACTGTCTAGCCATCAATCCTCATCATCCGATCATCAATTGTGAGCCCTAATTCACTCCCTCAGCATCTAGCCACAAGTCTTAGGCATGTAACCATCAATCCCCAGCGTCTAAACATCCACCAGCATCCAATCATCAACCCTGAGCATCTCTAACTCAATCCTCATCATCTAGACATCAGCCTCCAGCATCTTATCAACAATTGCTATGGCATCCAATTATGAAACCCTAGCACCTAACCGTCTATCTCTAAAATTCAGACTTCATTCTCCTGCATTCAATCCTCAATTACCAACATCCAACCCTGCTGTCATCCAATTTTGCATGTAGTTTTCATAGGGTGACCAGACGTCCTGTTTAGGCCAAGACAGTCCCGTTTTTGAAGTCCGCTTCTGCCGTCCCGTCTTTTTGTCCCAATAAAGAATCGTGTCCCGTTCTCCGGAAATATTCTTTATTTCTATATATAAGTGTGTAGACTTTTACAGCCTAGTCTTGCAGGATAAAGTCCTGCTTAGAAAACTTCAGTCGTCGGCAAATATGCCCACACCAATGAAGGGCCTGAAGCAGGACCTTCCAAAGGAGTGCATGCAAGTGAACTGTGAGTGTGACCGTTCCCTAGGACTTAGTGCAATAAGGTAACATTTTGGAATAAGAGCAGTTATTTTATAAAGTTTTTTTCCCAACCTCAATCTTTAATACGTACCATGTTTGCATGTGCTGATTCGCTGTGGAGAGCGCGTTCGCACCGTCGAAACTCTTCCATCGTCCGCAGCGGCAGTTGAGGAGCATCCGGTTGAGGACCAACTGGTTGAGGACCAAACAAGTGGAGACCAGCCGGTTGAGCCTCCAGCAGAGGTTGAGGCATTGGTTCAGGAGTCAGCAGAGGAGCAACAGGCTGTGGGACTGATTGATGCACAGGCTGAGCAGACGGTTGAGGCATTCCTGAAGGAGACTGTTGAGCAGTCTGTCGAGGCAACTGAGGGGTCAGTTGAGGGACTGGTTGAGCACATGGTTGAGGGCATGCTTGAGGAGCCATTTGAGAAATCGCCTGAGGAATAGCTTCCGCAAGGAGTTGAGGAGTCGACCGCAAACCGTTTTGAGGCATGTGGAATGAGATGCGCAGCTCACACGATGATTCACCTGCATCCAACAAGAAAATGACTGTGTGTGTATCCACACCTGGTGTGGCTCCCAGACTTGGCTTATTCCGTATTTCGGTCATGCACGTGCTGCTCATATTATTAAAACACAACTTTTAAAAAGAAAAAATGTTTTTACAACTCATTCAGAAATTACGCCTAGGCTACAACTATGGTGCTAGAGTGAAACCCACATAACAATAACGAGAAAACCCGAAATTTCAATCATTATAACCGATTATCATTGTATCTGAACTAGAATCTGATAATTTCCAGTCTACAAACTCTAGAAACTAATCGTTATAAGTGGTACATCGCTATAAGTAGAATGCACTGTATAACAAGCCTTTCACAATTTTTAAAGCTTACCCTTATCAAAGCAGAGTAGCGATGAAGAGACAAAGTACTTCTCAGCACTTTACTGAGTGGCACTTTGATATAAAATAAAGTGAACTTCAGGTGCTTAAAAAGGTTGTATAGCATAGGAAAAACATACAGCTTAAAGCAACTCAGTGTTGAATGCTTAAGCAAGTAGAAAAAAAAAGATAAAAAATTTACATTTGTCGAAAAGTTATGTATATGAATAATCATGACAGATCCTATTCAAAAGTAGTAGTAATCCTATTAGTTGTCGTATTCAAAAAGACTAAACTTAATTTTTGTGAAGAAAACCAACAAAATTGGTTGAAATTTCTCCCAGTAGGATAGCAAAACTCATATTTTGACATTTAGAAAAATAGTTCATGACCACCACAGGACAAAGTTGAATTTAAAAAATATTTAATTTCTGAAACTAAAAGCTATATCAAAACATGCTACTTTGAACTGTAGTATAGACATGTCTAAAAAGGTTCGAAACCAGCACTCAAAGCTTCTAAAGCATAATGAAAGTAAAACAACCACAAAACTAACACACCATTCATTTTTATAGAGGTCACCAATCGAGCCCATATTGAAGGCGACATTTTAACTGAAGTTTCATGCCCTGGGACAGAACAACAGACCTCACCACATCTCCTAGGATGCACACCAAGAAGGCTCACCTGTGCAACTGTTCACTTGTTGACTTGACGTCATCGGGACAAGGTTGTAGAGCGGAGACTTCAAGTTACCAGCTGGTGGAAAGAAAATAAATACCAGGTTTGTAAGCACCTCTCTAGTCAAACTTGAATCATCGACACTAGAAAAGGGAGTGACAATTTTAAACCAGCTATTCCCATAACCTCTGGGAAAGTGATAGTTGTTCAGCAGAAAATCTTATTGGAAAGCTAAACTTACGAAATGCAGACTTCAAATGTTCATGACAATGATCAGAACCTTTCTGACTCTAAGAATTGCAACTTATGAAAATTGAATGCCCATTGAATTCGCTAATTTCAAAACAAGGTAATTCTAGACCATGCCATTTGTTCATTTCAAACAGGGCAACCCTAGACAAAATACACCAAAAAATTGATTTTCCTTCAAGAGATCCTATAATCCGTAGCACTTGCGTATGCACTGCACAAAGGTTGTCATTATACATGCATAATACATTTTCATACAAGCTTGAACAGTGAACAATTCACTAAAAACAAACAAAAAACATGTTATATAAATAAAGACCAGGAATGCAAACAGAGAGCACCTTTCGTAAACACTATTCAAATCATATTTCAGATGTCATAAATATTTAGTTTACAAATATATCACCAGCATATAACAAATCTGAATAACAGACAATATATGACACAACACCTGACTTGTAAGACACAGCAACTGACTAATTAGTAGAATTTTTCAAAGGCGACTATTCTTTCTTCTCAACAGCAGATTAGATAGCTTGGAGTTCCCTAGTTGAATATGCCTGGCCATGAAATGCACTCTCTTTCATGTCCTTGCCTTGGCTAGAGTAATCCTGAAAAGAAACAAACAAGGTTGAGCTTTCTAAACGTGATTGAAACCAAAGGAAATGACAGTACGCATTAACAATATCCACAGCTTCGAAGTCCTTTCCTTGATATCCCCTGTATGCTGCCTCTACTCCTTCTCTCCCACTGGTAAGTGCAAAGGAAAGAGGGTAACTGCAAGCCTTCCTGAAACACAATTTGAAGTTTGGCAGATCTCAAGCAAAAATGTTTAAAGTCGGCACTTCTTTATAGGCACAGGTATATTTTGCATAAAAAAGCAGCCTACACAGACCAGCATAAAAAAGTGTCATCAATACAGCTTGAAAAAAACAGGAATGCTGGAAAACAAAACACTCTTAGATAAGGGAGAATGCTAATGTCGCACAACCATGTGCCCTCAACCTCTCGGAGGACGAATCAAAGGAGCACAGAAATGTGCCTAAATTTACGCCAATAAAGAAAGCAGTTGTGCTAAAATATGTCCCACAAAACGAATTATAAAAACCACACACCATAAACCTAAGCGATATCTCTACCATAGATTTTGCAAGTCAACAGTTGGGGTAATGAGCTGGAGGCATTTCCAAAAGGTAAGCGTAACAATTTTTTTTTTCTTCATTTGTTTTGCAGGTTTACCGCACAGGGGCAGAGACAAAGGTGTGGTGCCTGACAAAACCTCTGCCCCCTAAAGTTCAGCAGCCCAAGATAGTTACATAATGACCATTCTACAAAACATTACACAATTCAAGAAATGCTTGTGATTCCGTTGAGAAAAAACAGACTACAGGCAATTTGGTGAATACAGCAATGAGGTATAACTATCAAATATCGAAGACATGTTACACACATGCTTTCGAAAATTTGATATAATTTCGAAAGAGTCACTACACAACTTCATCCACACTCCTCAAGAAAAGCATGGCTGAGGGTGCTCAATTGCAACATCTGCACATTTAATGAAAGTGGCAAGTACTATGGGGATGATTGCAACAAGCAGCGATATTGTTGCTACTGCAACAGAAGTCACCAAGTGTAATTACAAGTTATGAAAACATAATAGCTGTACTGTTTTTATATTTTCTGGTGAAAATCCTGTCAGTAACAGAAGCTTATTAAAGGTTTGGTAACATATGGTTATAGTCACAACCCTCTGTAACAGAATCTTCAGAGCTCACCTAGCTAACCGAGGCGCTCTTCTTCAGCTGCTTCTCCAAGCACCCAGATGCAAAGAGGCAAAGCCCACCCTACCATGCACTCCTGCATTTTTACTAGGAGGCATAAAAAGCACAGTCCCCCAGTTTTTGCAAGATTACATTCAAGTGCCAATTAGGCACTTGAATACTTTACGGTATAGTAGTACGGCGACTTTCTCTTCCCTCGCACATTTAGAGCTCACTCTGTACATACCATATTTTCCGGTGTACACATTATATGTGTGATTCCATGTTTTTAGGGTTTATTTTTTGCCAAATTCGAAGGGTGTTTTTCGGAGTTTATTTTTCTTCGATTCCTAATTTTCCAAAACCCAGAGCTTAATTTTGCAATGTCTTTTATAAGAAAAAAAAAAAAAAAAAATACAGGGGTGGAAATATGTGCTAGATTCAAAAGAATGGGCTTGTACCAATTTATATTTCTTCAGCTGGGTTGGCACCATTGCCATTGGCAATAATAATTTGTTCAATGACGAAAATGGCAAAAAAGTGTTGCTTCGATAGAAAGTCGAAACCTTAAGATCAATAAACTTCTGAAGGTTTCGTAATATTTCGAGCGAGCGCCTACTCAAAATTTTGAGATAATAACGTAAAACTAGGGGATGGGCGCCTCTTAGGTCAACAATATGTGAAGATACGTCTTTGGTCTATTTTCCAAATGTTACAAAATTAAGGGGTGAGCGCTCATTGTGGAAAGGGCGGGTACTCGGTATTTTATGGCAGTAGATAGGAAGCTAGTATTTGTCCCATCCTATCCATCGACCTACCTGCAGCTGCGCAGGGCAAAGTGGTAAAGGGTGTAACTTAGAAGCTTCAACTGGCCGCCCCGCTTCCCCCTTCTATTAAATGTCTATGGTTCACAGCTTTCACTGCTACAGAAACGCAACCTTTCCATATTCTAAGAAGCACAAATAAACCGGAACAGTGGGTTCTGTCATGAACCGAAAGACCTGTTGTAATGATGTACCTTGACGAGGTAAGCAGCAAGACTCCTTTTGTCGATGGTTTGAGGTTTGAAAGATAACTGGGGTGGCATTTTCTCAAGACAATCTTTTTTTAAAGGCCTTGGTACATCGAAATATGGAGTTTATCAGATGAATTTGAAATGACGAATATTTTACTGACAGGTGGTTTTCCGCGTTCTTCGGATATATCCGGAAACACGGAACTTTAATTACAGTCAAATCACGTTAAATCAAACTCAAAGGGGACCGAAAATTTGTTTGAATAAAGCAAAGTTTGAATTATCGGCAGTATCCCCCCATCGAGACACATAGGATGGGACCTGCAGGATAGTTTGAATTATCCGAGTGTTATAATTAAGAGAGTTTGACTTAACGAGATTCGACTGTATATACTTATATTCACTTATTTTTTTTATTAGTATAAACCTTAACTGTGCAAGATGTAGGCCGCGTCGACACCTACGACAAAGGAGGAATGCCAGAGCACCTGCCAATGACGTGTTCTTCTAATGTTGGTGCAACTTATATAACCAACTTTTTCACAAAAAATGGCCGGGGAGTGCATCTTATACAATATTGGGAGAGACCAGACTTTATTGGGGCGACCCGCACAATCGACAGGGGTCTAGACAGAAAAAAGTTTATTTTTCCATCGCCGGCGTCGGCCTCCTTCGCGATCGGGGGCTCCGGCGAGGTACCGTCCCAAGTAGCGCTCTATTTCCACAATGTTCTCCTTCGTCCTTACATGAATGGCTTCTGCAAACGAGAAGAAAAGAGTGGGAGCCTTTGCTGATAACAGTAATGGAAGTGCCATCTTATCTTTTGTGGCAGGTTCTGTAACAGGCAAAATATTGCCTATCAGATGCATTAATGTGAACAAACACGCAGTTATCTGTGGTCCGCTTCCGGACAGTGAAACCGTGAGTGGTTAGGCCTAAGAACGGTCGTGTTGCTTTCTGTGCTGAGTGAGTGAGCTTCGTAGGGCGCCTTTCCTTCGGCAAAAGGCACGCCGAAAGCGTCTTATAAATGTTTGCCATTTATGGTTACTGTGGCGCAGCCCTGACCAGCTGTGGATGCGCCTCCATCTGTGGAGACGTGCCACATTACCTTGCCATGTCATAATGACTGTCAAGACCAGTTATAGCGAAGTCAACGGGAATCGGAAATCGCCTCGTTATATCTGCAATGATTCACCAAATTGGTGCTTGAGGGAAATAGACAATCGCACAAGAGCGACCTCACCGACCACACGCCGACACGGATCATGAGGCAAACAAAGAAGCACGCACAGCACCTAGTTTGCGCTCAAGCTTGTCTGTCGTCGTTATAGAGAGCCTAGGTTTAAGAGATGGGGCAACCGCTTGCTCGGGGTCACGTGGTTTGTGGGCCGCGTTTGCAAAACGAGTTGCAGCGTGCAAGGAGTCAAAACTCAAAAGCATTCATCTTCCGAAAACGTGTCCGCCTTTCCGCCCAGTTTCTTCGCCACACTGGCCACTCAACAATCAAATGCAGGCATACTTACTGCTCCCTCTCTTAAATCTAGGCTCTCTCCATCATCTCCTCCGGTATGTTGTTGCCAGCACTCCAAACGCCCCTATCGGCATGCCGCGACGGCCTCTGTGTGTGATGCGATAAGGAGCGGGGAGCAGACGACGCAGAAAACGCCGCCGGCGGCCTTTTCAGCATCTTCGGCAGCCTGATCTGGGTGGCTTCTTGGCCGCGGCAGCAAAATGTGGCGGTCCGAGACTTAGTAAACTTTCCGAATTCTATTCTTTTTTAAAATTATCACAAAACGTTTTTTCACTATGTCTGCGGGAGCCGCTCAATTTCCTTCGCTAAAAACAAACAGAAATGCATTGAAAAGTGCAAACGGGAATGGGAAATCGTGATTGATTCGCTGTAACCGCTGTCTTCGTTATGACCGGTCTTAAGAGTATGGCATTTGCATGAAGTGTGTAAATGCAAAAATTTTACCCCGCACAATGAATATGTGCTGATTTTTCGGGAAAAAAAAAAATCTGTTCATTATGCGAGTAAATACGTACGGTATACAATTTATATGGTACAGAAGAGCGTTCCGATTGTTTCCTAGTACAGATGCTGCAAACTTTATTTTAACCCGAGGTTCAGAGATTGAACCAAGGGGGTTCGAACATTTTGGAAGCTTTCAAACTTTCGAATTTTGTTAGGGTAAGAAATCAAAACAATTTTCAAACTTATTACGCCACGAATTTTGGCAATTTTCGAACTTTCAAACCTGCAATGTTCAAAAGTTTGACAAGCTTTAAACCAACTTTACCCCCAAAGGTTTAAGGTAACAAATATAATTCTAACAAGTATGCACATTAAAATATTGCACCGAAGCTTCACTTAGCTGATCCTAGGTGGTGCCTCGGACAACTCGCTTTGGGGTGGCCTTCGCCCCCCAAAGCGATACACATCGAATTTGAGGGTATTGAATTCAGTTTGAAACTTTCAAGCTTGACTCATATTTGGTTAGATTACTATCAATATGCGATTCGAATTCAGTTTGAAATGCTCGTGCAGACTCACCACACATGATGGTGCAGATCCTGGTGCCTTTGAAGGGCAGCTTGTTATGCCTCCTTCCCATGAGGGACAGCCGACACTGGACAGATTTCCTCAGCGTCCTCTCCATGATGATACGCGTCGTGTTTGGCACCGTTGTGCCCCCTTGAGATGTCATGAGCTCCAGCTTGACAGAAGGAGAATTGAAGGTAGAGCTCTTAGGCTGCCCAGTAAAAAAACATGCTTCTTCAACTGGTTGCTTTCTGCGTGGGAAGCCCAAAAGAGCTCGCAATAAACAGACGCTGAAATGTTAATTCTATACAAAAGTACTAAAAGTGACATGAAACGATGTGGATGGTATAGTTCCACCCAAAAATATTTGAAATCTTAATTCCCCCTTCCCCTTTTTTCTTTGTGAATTGCAGGCAGATTTCTTTCCAGAGAGAACCCTCTATCACACGACTATGATAACCTTTCAAAGTATTTTGGTCTTTAGACACTGCCTCCCAATGCTGATACTGCACACTTCTCGCAAAGTGTGTTGGTAGTACAATACACGTGGAGTCGCCTCAGAATACAAAATGCAATCCCGACATATTTGCAGGCTTCTTATTTTGCAAGTTTTACAAAAGTATAAAATATTTTTTGCAGAAGCAAATAAACTAGTCTATGAGCGCCAAGTGTCAACGAGCATGGGCAATGTACGCACGTGGCGAATCCTTTGCAACTGCTTCAGATTTAGAAAGTTCTAGAAAATTAAGCAACCGTAAAAAAACAAGTCGTTTGTCTTTGTAATTCACGGATGGCTTCGCCGACGGCGGGCTTACCATGGCCGCTCGGGTGGGCTCGTTCACGAGAGCAAGCTCGCACTGATCGAACTCTGCCATCGTCTCAAGCGGCAGTTGAGGTAGAGGCACTGGTCTGATCCGCTGGAGCCGACGCGGCAGCACCGGAATGTTTTGCACAGCCTGAACAGTCGGTAGCGGGATCTCTTGCACAGCTAGAACATTGGGTATTTGAGGATCTTGCACTCTTGAAACAGATGACACCGAAGCATTGCACACTGCTCGAGCTGTCGGTGGTGAGATGGCTTGCGGCACTTGCGCTGGACTGCCTTGCAGCACATGAAGAAGAGGTTCGCAGGGTGGCCCAGCTGCACTCAAGGAAGAGGGAAAGGGGACAATCAAATGCCAAAACTTTAAAACATTTACAAATTCTAAAAAAAAAAGTGGCAAAAAAGTGTCATTGTTCCGATTCATGACCAAATGAACAGAACCGGGAATGTCTCTTTCACTCGGCCCCTTTGCTTCCGAGGGAAGCAGAGGCACGCTACTTACTAAAGTAAAAGATACATTTGCCGAGTGAGCTGCCCCTCATAGCCAAAGAATGAGGAAAGTTTCTTCTAATGCAGTAACCCCGTGCCAACTGATCTTTGTCCCCAAGGAACATAAAGCAAACCTTCGTATTAAATGGGCAAACATTTTCTCGATTTCCAGGTGTGGCATCTTGCTCTGAAGCAGGACTTTTGGTCCGAGTCCCACTGACGTGCAGACACCGAATTTGATGGAATGCTCGCAGGATTCGCATAGTTTTCATCGCTCCAGTCCATCAAACTATTGTCAGATTACGAAAAATTGAAAGGCCTGAGGGATTAGTTGCCACATATGCCTGAGCATTAATCACTTTCAAGAACAAGGTTTTGTACCTCTTCATCAACTGAAGCGGGCCCCAGCGCCAAAACAAAATTGTTTTAGCACCAACGCTTACAATTGCAACTGCCTTTTTTTCTTATTGGTTAGATGGAGCTTTCTCTCTATGTCAAACCGCAAAACAAACGAGCAAACAACCCAAGGTAAATGGAGCAACAAGGGTGGTTCTGCCATCTGCCGGAGAGCACACTAAACAGCACCGAAACCGAAACACATGTGATACTCCTGGCAAGGCTTTATGGTTTGCAAGGGGTAACATGGCACGAGTGACACTCATTATTGGTAGGGAAGGGGTTAAAGTGTGGTTTCTCAAACTGGGTTCCTAGGCACTTAGGAATTCCCCAGAGCACCCAAATAGGTTCCTAGGGGCCCAGGAGTTTCCCAGAGTACCCCGAGGGGATCGCCAAGTTCCCAAATTTCCTCGACCATCCTTGCCCCCAGGTAATTTGTTTTTCCAGTTTAAAACCAGTCTTAGCATATCTGAACCATTTATTAATAGGACACACTCTGCAGTGTGTGCCCTATTGCTCACAAGGTCTGTGGGAATTGTGACTGCTCTACTGCATTAACGTCGAGGCCGGGAGGGGCTCCTCAGTTTCCAGTCAAGCCAAAAAGGGATGCATTGAGATTGAGAGTTCGAGAATCCCTACACTCAGGGTGTCTAGCAACTGATTATTTTGAAATTCCCCGACTTTTCCAGGTTTTCCCTTAACATTTCAGGTGAAATTCCCTGACCAAGACCGTTACAACATAAGGCATTGAGCACTGTGAGGATAATTTTGTACGGGCTTAATCCAACTTGCATATTCTGAAATACTGGGGTTCGTCGAGTCTGGATTAAACCAGCACTTTCTTGCCGCTGACATCGTCGGTGAAGAGGCCACTTCCGGAAACACGACGAAAACACGACGCTCAACCAGACACGTCAATAAACAAATGGCAGCATGGCCACCAGATACACACCTTCGTATACTTTCGGCTCAAGGCTCGACTTGGAATGGGGTCTGCGGCTTTCCCATTTGTTACTAAATCTAGTAGCTCTAACTGGATCCAGCCTAGTGTCGCGCCCTCAATCCAATCCAAGACTTGGACTAGATTTGTTGGCTTGTTCCCTTTCCATCAGGTCGCACACTCTTCATCAGGTGAGCAGAGCTCACGCTCCCTTCTAAGCAGAATTTATTGCCTATTTTTTTTCCCTTAAGTTCTCAAGTGTTTGTTCAGCGCACTCGATGGCGTTTCCGGCTCATTCTCCCTGACTGGGCTCGCTTTTCGACAGTATCCCCGACGATTCCCCAATTTTTCCCGGTAATTAAAATTTCCCCGACAATTTTGGGTTTTACCGGTCGCTAGACACCCTGCTACACTACAGCATAGCCCAATGGTCCCAATGAAACATTCCACAACCCTCTATTTCCCCCAAGAAATTACCGCTCAGTGTGGAGTCATTTTGACATTTATGCGTGCACCGGGCAAATGCATGTGTGCAAAAGAACAATGTAGTTTTTGAAATAAAGCTGCTCACTTCCGATTGGCTGAAACTGAAGGTCTGGCGTACCGGCAACGATGTCCTGGATGATGGACTGCGCAGACTCTTCGACTGAAAAGGGCGAAATTGACAATCGATTCCAAAAAATTGCTTTAAGCCGTACAAGAAAAGAAGCAATGCATGCTTTACACACTCTAAATCTCGGTTCCTCCGTTATTGGGCAAGCGCAGACTGCACAGATTTCCTCCAGAAAGGACGAGGAATAAAATGAACTGCATTTTGAAAATGCTTTACAATGCTTTTGGCCTGGTGACCTACCAGAAATTGCTTAATCCCGAAATCACTTTACGATGTCCGTGGCAAGCTTGCTCGGAGTTTGACGGATGTCACTAGTGTCGTGCAAATATTTAAACAGTAGTTTCAAATAATACGCTATTCAATATTTTCTTCCGAGACAAACTGCAGTATTTTTATGCTTCAAAGTGTTGGTTACGGCTGATTAGCTTTCTTGAGCGCGCTTCCTAACGAGCACGGGCGCACTACGAAGAACCAACACCCACTGAAGCGACTTCCTTGGATGTTGCTTCTCTACAGTGCACCGGTGCTCAGTAAGAAGTGCACTCACCGGGGTAATCTGCCGTGATCAACGCTTGGAAAAGCACGGGCAATTGCATGCACACGAGAAGAGCACACTTTCAAAGTGGGATAGTGCGTGCGCACTCCTGGTGTGTTTAGAAAGAAAAAGAAACTTTGTAATGTTGACATCTACATTGCAGCGAAATTTTCAAAATTAAATTGTGGCTGCTACGTAAAGCGGTGGCGTACACAGGGAAGAACCGACAAGGTCGTGCACCCCCTTTCCCCCTCCCCAAAATAATTGGGTTGGGGGGGGGGGGGGGGAGGCAGCAGCAGGCCATAGATTTGGCCATGCATGAATCGAAAGACTACCAATGTGTGGATTTCTTAAAATAAACAAGCGATTGAAATTTTGTAGAGCCGTGTGGCCTCCACGATTTTCCATGTGACCAAGGAGTCCCTTAGAAAACGTAACAAAAAATGCTCTTCATTCTCCTTTGCGTGGGGGGGGGGGGGGGGGGATCGGTGGCCGAGTGGGCTGAAGTGCACACCCAGCTCGACGCTAGTGGAGCGATAGCTCGTGCTCCAGAACCCAGGGATCCTGGGTTCGAGCCGCAGCCCTGCCCGTTTCGATCTGGATGAGCATCGTACCGGCGTGCGGTCGTGTATCACTACTGCGTGGTGCACCCCAGGCTAGCGGCTGTACCGCACTGGCTAAATTGCCCATCTACAGCTGAGACACCAGACACCCACCGAGGCAAACTAACTTCCAACTGTATAAACAAACACACAACAATTTGCTTTTGCTTTGCGTGGGGTGTCCTTGGCCACGTGGACACCCCGGTAACGATCACGAAACACCCCCCCAGATGCACTCCAGTTAACTTCAGTCTCCAACTCCGCTCGAAACTTTTATGGGCCGTTACTGTCGTATCCTTCTCAAATTGTCAGGCCGATCCGCCGCATGTGTGAAGGTTCACGCTGCAGGGAATGGGTCTAGCACACAGTCCACCCGTTACTCGGTAATGAACCTCGCACATGTCGAGACGATTCCCTGTCCCAGACCAGCCAGACATGAACGGGGGAAGTGAAAGCCCCGCCTGATTTTGGACAATGCAGTTCCACGAAGTAGTGTTCACCCCCAGTTGTCAACAGAACTGATCCCCCCTCCAGGACATAGCTTGCAACAAGGGAGAAGCATGTTGTCCAGATCCGCAGCCCCCGACAACTGTGGTCACACTGCGCCACTTTGCCAATTCTGGTCTTTCCCTCGTCAAGTTAGGATTGCCTTTCTTTGGCAGAAGCTCCACTTTTTCTCTGTTGTGTTTTCTGCATGGGAAGGGGCACCTATCTGGCGGGATTCAAGAGGCGTGAAAATGAAAGGTTTCTAAAAACGTGGCATCCTCCTTCTTCCCTAGCCTCTGGGATCTGGTGGCACTTGCAATCGCAGCACAGCAATGAAAAGAATGCTGCTCAATGTGCAACTACCAAAGGCAAAGAAAGCGGATGTTGAGGAGAAGCCACCAGACAATGTGGAAAAGGCACGGGGGTGTAACAGCGGGCAGTTTTGAACCAAAAGACATCCAAAAACCAGAAGAATCTGGTGAGCATTTATTTTTAATATTGTGCACATGTGCATTTGTTTGTGTGGCCAGATTCTTTTACACTACCTAGAAACCTTGATGTGTTTGCCTACGACAGTCCACATGACATTATTGGCGGTTGGTAATGAGAGCAAAGAATTTGGTCAACAGTACAGTGTTTATGTGACGAAGCACTTTAAGATTACCAACCAGCAATAATCTAAAACAAAAATTCATCTTTGAATTATTTTTGTGAATTTTGTATTTTTATCTTGTTCAAATAAAGATAAGGCCACATTTTGCTGTTCCTTACGAATTATAAGTTAAATAAACACATATTTTTCTGCATGTATCTAGCACAGCTGCACAAGAGACACATTAAACTTAAGACTCGAATTATAATAATTGGGGTTGTGTGGATATTTATACAACAAGTAGTTGGTCAACCAATTTTCAAAGTGGCGACGAGTCACTCGCTGCAGATCAGCAATTTAGCCAGTGCAGTACAACCGCTGGCCTGGGGGTCTTTAACGTGCACCACGCAGCAGTGGTAGACGACCGCGCGCCGGTACGATGCTCATCCAGATCGAAACGGGCAGGGGTGGGGAATGAACCCAGGATCCCTGGGTTCTGCAGCGCGAGCTTTCGCTCCACGTGCTCCGAGCTGGTGTGCTCTAGCTGGTCCACTCGGCCACCGATCCCCCAAACTCAAATTAGTTCCTTTGTTTTACAAAAGAAATGCTCATGAAAGAATGTTTTGTTATCGTGCAAGTCCGTTGCTTGCATACGCGTAATGAACACCGCTGACCGGCATAAAGTGCGGACGCTTGTTCCATGAAAGCATGTTTCTAAACCGATATGCTCCCTTTGTTAGTAAAAAAAAAAAAAAAGAAAAAGAAGAAAAAATTGGCCGAAATCGCTGCTGCCGTTATGCTGGTTCTTGATGAGACGCGCGAGTATTTCATGCAGCGGTTATATATGACGAAGCATGATGAATGCAACATCTCAGCACAGCACTTTTCTGTGGGGTAAACATTCTCCAGACCCCTCTTCTCCCTGGTGCAGGCAGACGAGGACACTTGCAGCACACATAAAGGACGAGCCCGTGATGCGTGGAAAATGACAGAGTCATTTCGTTGTTGCGCATAAATGTTGTGCATACAGGGGCGACGTCACTGCGCTTACGGCCTGGTGACATGGTAAGACGACTGTGTGTCAAGGTCGTACACGGGCTGCAGGACGGAACTGCAGCCCGTGTACGCACACGGGCTGCAGTTCCGCCCTGCAGTCCGGAGACTTGTGGACGCCCACAAGTCTCCAAAGCAGATGGCAGCAGCTACCAGGGCGTCCAAAGCGTGCACCCGCAGACCAGCCGCAGGACGTGAATGGGGTGGGAAAAGGGTTGACACGCGTTTTCGTGATACACCCGCCAACCCCACTCCGCCGGTGATCTTCGGTTACTAGGGCTGTGGCACCATCCCGTGGTGACGTTGCAAACTATAAATGTGTGCTCCAACGTTTAAAGTCAGTGCATGTACCAGGGCACTAATGTTAAGACATTAAAAAAAGTCAACATGAAAATAAAAATTCAACGAGGCGTAACGAGCGAGTGAGACGAGCGGGCGGACAGAAGAAGCAACGAGGTGATATGTTGGGGAATCGTGAGAGCCTGCGATAGCGTTGGCAAATACTTTGACATCGGGCCAAGTCATGACTAGCAGGCTCTTTTACAACTTGCTTGTTTCGTGCATACATGCGTGCGTCTATGCATGGCGTTCTACCAACGCGTGCTGAGGCGGCGTTGCTGCGTGGTGTGGACAGCACCACAAACAGGAAGAATTTTGGAAATGGCATCCATTTCCAAAGGCATTCAAATGTACAGCGTTTAGAATGATCGTGAGAAATGCCAAAAAGACTGCCAATTTTATCAGGTCAAAGTCAAATAGAGTATATTTTTTTATGTGACAAACCAACAAAGGCCATCTGAGATGTTCAAGCAAACGACTGAGGATTAATTTCAAACACTTGGGGATTTTTTGACACACAACCACAACCTTAGTTTTTGACGTGCAACCGAAACCTCTTTGCCGCAATAAGCACCCCATTGTCAAATTGCAAGCATCTTGGCCGGGATTCAAACCTGCTGACCGGAGATTCGAAGAAGTGTGATTTGCTTCCGAGTCACTGATGCGGCTTCACAATTCTTGATGGCAAAAATATTCGTAGACAAATCAAAGAAAAAAACAAATCGTAATAATAAAAAAAAGAAGCCCACCTTTGATTGCTTGACTCTGCGGGCAGGACGTTCCCGCAGATATGTTGTGCAGAGTGAACTCTCTGGACTCTTCGACTGCAAGAGGGAGAAACAAAGAGCAAATTAGTCTTGTAAAAGTTACTGTTACAGGCCAGGAATGGACCTTTTTCCACCAAGCTTTTGCACGTACGTACACCCTCTTTCCCCGGCCTTGCTTCCCACTGTCATCATTCTCGGAGGGCACCGTCCCGCACGACCAACATATTCACCACCTACCATTGCGCATATTTCCCCTCTTTTGACAATTATTTTTTGAGTATCGGTAGTATAAAGCAAAAAAAGCAGCAGAAGCCGATACAACGGCACGACACCCTTGTGTTATGACGGGCGGAGGCATACTGGGCTGCTCTTCGTTTGTAGTTTGCAGACAACTACCCAAATAGCACATTATCCCCATAATAAAAATGAAAAAAATATGATTTTGACATGTCAGTGCCCCTTTAAGCTGAGACTCCACCTTCAGCGCGAACTCGCTGGTTTCCGCTGTGCTTCGATTGTACGTGCCTGCGTGTTCACACTTGTGTTAGCAAGGGCTGATTTTGACGTGTCAGTGCTTCTTTGAGCTGAGACTCCACCTTCAGCGCGAACTCGCTGGTTTCCGCAGTGCTTCGATTGTATGTGCCTGCATGTTCACACTTGTGTTAGCAAGGGCTGAAAGCTCGCGCTGAAGGCAGAGCTCCTAGTCTCGGCGGGTGAACGGCGCATAGGCATGTTCTGTGACGTGACCCTGAGCCGCATGGACAACATCCAAACCGCAAAAGCAGACTTTTGGGCCTCTGCGGAAAGCATGAAAAGAAAAAGAACGAAGGCGAGTGCCAGGACAGGCTTCACGAGGCAGTGCAAAGGAAATGACGCCGGAGACGAGCAGCCAAACTTCCAATTGCAATTTCTCAAAAACTCTGTTTTCCTACATGTGAGGAATGTTTTCTCCGAAACTAGCGGAGCTATCCGAGATTTTTTTTTTTTATCAGTTATTACTACATGGCTACCTTATATATAGAACCTTGTGAATTATGTTGCGGTTAAGACTTCTTTATTTATAATATATTTCTCTTCACAAGCAGCATCAAAAATGGATCACAGGCGTACAAAACTTTATTTTGAAGAACTAAGACTTGCAATTATTATTTCTTTGCTTCAGAAAAAAAGCCCACATTGTGGGGAATCACTGGGGAATGTTTCACAGCTCTAGTCAAATTTGACAATTCATAAATGTACCTTACCTCGCCAGAAAAAGCAAACGTCTTCGAAAGTATGGAGCAGAAAGCGGAAAAGATGTTGGTCCTTTTACGTCACCTTTGATTCACAAAGTCGAGGGCGTTTGGTTTAGGCAAGCATGATCTTATATCACCGCCATTACAGTGGCAGTAATGAAGGTTTCGGGGCTGCCACAAGATGACTATGCGTTAACTCATTTTGCTTTTATTCTTTTAGAACCGAAAGGCCATCACCACAACTGCTAGTGTGGTTGAAACTGTGCATTCAAAACGCTAACCTAAGCGATAAAACATGGCACCTGCCAACACCCCTTCAAAGTAAAATGCAAAAAGCGGCTTTGTTCTGCTTGGGCTAGTAGGAAATTCATTGTAGAACATAAAATCACTAAAAACGATGAACAAGTGGAAGAATGAGAAACACCACAGAGTGCTTCGTGGTATTCATCATTCCTTTACTTGTCCGTCGTTTTTAGTGTTTTTATCCTCTACAACCGAACTTGGCAGAGTAATTTACGGGAGGCCAAATTTCCCCTTCTGCATTTCAGTTCCCTTCTACACGACTGGTTAATTTTGTGCTTAATTAACCAATCGAGGAGTCACCTGTTTCGATTACAATCAACTAGTATTGTCTGAAATAACCCCTTGCTGTGCGTTACATAAATAAAATTATGTACAGCTAATCATATTGGCTAGGAAAATGAGGCCATCTGTTTGAAAGTCGCTCGTTAGCCATAAGCACCCAATGTGGCACACCAAGATGCAGGAGCAAAAAATAGCTTACCTGGACCATTCTGAACCTCCTGACATGGCCGGGTAGAAAAGTAGCTATGCAGCGAATACCGCGACGGCTTCTTGGCTGACGGAGAGAATAGAGCAAAAAATGTAGGCTTACTTGAATCCAAAATAAATATTAAAGGCCATTGCTGCAGCTACAAAAAAAAGCTGAAACCAGAGCGATACGGCTCATGCCATGTCTAAAACCACAGCAGTACCAATATGACAAATTTACTTCTGGAAATCCACATCCACAGTTTTACATGGCAGAAAAAGATTCAACTCTGTCCAACGCCCTCAGTTTTCAAACTATAGGTAACCTTTCACAAACGCGCAACAGGAAAGCGGATACATTCTGCAGTTTCACTGAAAGAATCTAATCACGAAGGAAAGATTCAGCTCGGATTATTGGGGGATTCATCAGAAATGCACACACAACAAAACTGCTAAAAAAATCCCATCCTCAAAAAAAAATATATATATATATATTTTTGCAGTTAGCTGTTACAAACATGAGATAGCAAGACCAGCTATGGCCACTAGAACGATAAAAATGGCGTTGAGCGAGTGCCGGAAGTAGGACATGGGAAAGAGGCACCCCGCTGTTCTCATCCTTTCGGCAACGCTAGCTTCTCAGATGTCGAGAAGGTCCAGGACACAACACAAACGAACACTGAAATGGCAGAGCAGTCCTTGAGGAAGAAAAACAATGTACGACCGCAATATATGCGATTCACGTGGCTTGCTTTTACGATCTCAATGTGAGTATAACGGATATAAGAGGCAGTCTAAACAGACAACACAGAGAGATATCAAGAACTGGAAGGCGTATGAAGCTAATGTCCCAGGTCAAGTGTAACTTCAGAGCTGTGCTCATGGCACAGTTATGGCCGTTCGAAGAAGGCCCGTCAGCCTGTTTCCTCTCATGGTAAGGCACAGGCATCTGAAAAGAAGCACAGGCAATAAAAATGAAGTCAACTCTTAGCCAATAATTGTAGCAGACTGCCGCTGCCACAACCACTACTAAAGAAAAAATACTATTAGAAGATTGGGGGTCCGTAAACGGTAGCTCCCTCACAAGTAAATGCCGAAGTCACAATCAAATACCGAACAAAAAGTCTTCAATCTGATGATAATTCTGTCAAAATCGTTGAATAATAAACCGGGGGCAAGAGGGGGATTGGTGGCCGAGTGGATTAGCACATCTCAGTTCGGAGCACGTGGAGAAAAAGCCCGCGCTCCAGAACCCCGGGATCCTGGATTCGATCTCTACCTCTGCCCGTTTCGACTTGGATGACCATTGTACCAGCATACGGTCATGTATCACTACTGCGTGGTGCACGTTAAAGATCCTCAGGCTAGCGGTTGTACTGCATTGTCTAAATTTCTCATCTACAGCTCAGACAGCAGACGCCCATTAAGACTGACTAACTTTCGGCTGTATCAACTTACATAAAAAATTCTTATTTAAGCCAGACGAACTGGTCTAAAAATCAAATTTAAAAATGGCGAACGACTCAAATTGCTTAATACAAATGTATCTTCCTGCAGATTCAACTCACACACTCTTGTTCTTCGTCATTCGCTGAAAAATATTTTTAAAACCCTGTGTAATTGTTGAGACTTGCCGTTGTGAACACGTGGAAAATTTTACGAAAGCGCAGTGCCGCAGGAAAAAGAAACAACTCGTCAAAAGCAAGTGTCGCCGGTCTTGCGGCGGGATCAAAGCTGCTTTGACACACCGAAGTGCTGAATCTCTGTGCCTTCGCACGCTTGGATACCGATCAAGAATTGATGCCGCATGGATGTGCTTTGCGAGTGCAGTATGCGTGAAGCCGTATGTAAAGGCAAACTCGTCGAAAGCAAGTGTTGCCGGTCTCGCAGCATGATCAAAGCTTCCTTGGCACACCGAAGTGCTGAGTCTCTGTGGCTTTGCATGCTTGGATACCGATCAAGATTCGTTTAAGCGCCATGTGGAAGTTTCGTGAGTGCAATGTGTGTGAAGCCGTATGTACCTCTGGGCAGCGTTTTACTTTTACTCCGACAACTGTATTTGTAACTTGCGGCACTCACGGTCCCGAAATGAGCTGGATCCAATGTCCAGTGGTGACGGAAGAGGGGGGGGGGGGGGGGGCGGGGGGGGGGGGGTGGAGGGGGGGGGGAGGGAGGGGAAGGGGGGCAGCATCAGCGGCAAGTTTTTTTGTTCTGTTTACTAGACATTTATGGCAATCGAATCAGTAGTACAAAAGCTATTTCTGTTGTGGCTTTTTCCTGCTGCATTGCACTTTCGTAAAAATTTCCACGTGTTCTCAACGTGAAGTCTCAACCCTTACAGAGGGTCTTAAAAATCTTCGACGAATGACGACGAACGAGTAGAAAACGAGTCTTCAGCACGCTGCCGCCAGCCTCTGTAACATTAGCAAAACCGCAAATAGTCTACGAGCAAGATGGCCGTTTGGTGGCTACATTCCCAGGAGCTGAAAGCGCGACCCAGCAATGGACCTTTTGTAGAAACATCGGTTCGAGAGTAAATGGTTCCAGAACTCTCTCTCTTCCTTCTGGCCGAGCAGAGAGGGAAGATGGTTTCGTCAAATAAGTATTTGGTTTTGTTGTGTTGACTTCGGGGCGGAAGATTACCCACGATGGGGACAAAGGCGAGTTTGGGGGAGCCGTATCTAGGTCACAACGCCTCAATGGGTGAGCAGGATGTAGCTAACGTTTTGGGTGTGGAAAGGGTGGGAGAGGCCTTGTGCGCGCATTGCTTTCTCGCAACTTAGCCTCGAACCCAGTCGCGTGTCTAGGTGGCAGCACATATTCGCCAAGAGGTCCATTGTCACTGAGATCAGAGGATATATACAGGGCGTCACAAAAAAAGAAAGAAATTTACAGGGTTTTTTTTCACCGCAAAAATAAACTAGGAATCGCTGAACGCTCATTCTATGCCCAAAGGTAGCGTGAGAGGTCACAACCAGATGCCAAAGTTTTAGCCCGATCCGGTACCTTAATAAAAAGTTACAAGTGATTTTCTGAAAATTTCAATGGGAAAATGGCGGCTGACGGAGTTTCCGGATACACGGGGCTCTAAGGTACTAGAAACCGAAAACGGACAAAAATGGGCTCCATTTTCCAATTGAAATTTTCATAAAATCACATAACTTTTGATTAAGGTATCGGATCGGGCTGAAACTTTGGCATCTGGTTGCGACCTCTGGCTCTACATTTGGGCGAAGAATGAGCGTTTGGCGATGGCTAGTTTATTTTAGCAGTGAAAAAAACCATCTGAATTTTTTTTTGTGACACCTTGTATCACGGGGACAAGGAGAAAGGATATGGTTAGTCTCAGCTAAACAAACACCCACGCCTAGCAACTAACATTACATCAACTCCCGCTACTCAAGTATGATAAACACAGACGACACACTTCTAAAAAAGAAATGCTTTTAAAAGAAACTAGCCTTCAGATACAAAAGAACACAATAAACACACAAATCACTCTCCAAGCAAGTGATAACCGAATGTCACAGCACAAAACCGCGCGCAATAAAACGACGTTCGAAGCGAGCTTCAGTGAGGCAAACCATCTCGTTTGGAGTACTTTCGAACCACAGACAACACCCGTACGATGTGGGAGAGACGAAATATTCTGAAGTCAAGTAAGTGCCTGCATAGAACGTTAACTAGGTAACGCTCGCTTATCACCATGTTCAATGCATACCAACTCCCCCCAACCAACTCACCACCTTGCTGTGTGCGACCGTGCGACTATGCCAGACTATGTTCTCAAAGTTCGTACTGGTTTGTACTCTTCTTTTGGCTGCGGGATGGACGTGAAGTAGGGAAAATAACAGCATTGAAAAACGTTTGATTGGGATGAACATTTCGCACCAACAAATGCACCGATTTTATGATTTCAATTTCACAGATGGCGCGATGGCGCAGGAATGATACGCGTGCCGATGCTGATTCTTTAATTATCCAAGCAAACCAAGAATATGGAACGGAATCGCCAAAACCGCCAAAAATAACATTACCAATGTAACATTTCATTTAAATTTAATGAATAGTATCAGCAATAAAAGTATACTTTCGCAAATTTTGTAACAACCTAAAAAGCATTAATAAAAAAAATAAAATCAAAAAGTTCAAGGCGGAAAAACGCACCGCACCAAATAATTTCTGACTAAAATTAAATCACAATAACACTAATGTAATACAATTTATAAAACACATTTATAATATTAATGTTGTAAAAATAATTAAATCTTAAATTATATTTTGTTTCAATTTTACCAACTTTCTGCGGTCCATTCGTCAGGGGAACCCTGGGAACACGATCGAAACGGTGAGTGTATCGGATTTAGTGGACTTTCGCGTGGTGTGTGGTCTCATTTCGCCAATAAACCAAAGGTATGTTCATAGTCCGAGTTAGCTCAGATCTTTTTCAGCTAAAGCAGTAACGACTTCACGTTCTAGGTTTTTACCCGCCACCCAAAACGAGTCTCCAACCCACACCGCTACATGAGGGTTACCTTTTCCTGAAGGTCACTTTGTCGGGCTAGAGTTGGTGAATTTCTCGAAGCCCGTGGTGTCTTAACCTCTAGATAGACAATTTTTTGTCTCTTTTGTAGGCCGTATATTCTGTTGTTACTCAAATAGAGGAATTAGTTTAGACATATTGTCCCTCTTCGGTTGCCACACTTGGCGATGTCGTGTAAACGGCGTGCCTTGGCACTCGACCGATTTTGGTTTTCAAGTTATCACGAAGACCTCATATTTTGTATGATTTCGGGGCCCGGCCGTTACGGCCGTTGCAAATTCTTCCCCATGCTGAGTAAGCCCCGTGTGCGAGCAGGACGCATGCCTGTCGTGTTTGGCCAAGCAATTTGTTGATCACTAACTCGGCGTAGTGAGCTTGGTGATTAAGAACCACTTTTTCCACTAGAATCTTCACTTCGTCTCTCACTCTAATCACCCCCCCCCCCCCCCCTTCCCTTTTCCCCCTTTTATTCTTCTGCCGTGGAGTCCGTAGCAGTCAGTCTTCTAGTCTTGGTTTGGTTACAGCTTGTTATTTTAAACATTAACGGTCAGCTTATTTCACTATAGGGGATGTTTCACTGGCGGTCATAGCTGAGTGCGTGCTGACGGCGGGTTTCCGCAACGCGCATTCCACAAATATGGCCTTTCTGAGGACAGCAGCAGAGCCCAATATGTAGAGAGTTTGGCCATTCATTGGAAGTATAGGAAACAAATGAGGAGGCGCTATTGGCCGAAAGCGGGCTGGGCGCGTTCCAGGGCGTCTTCACAAATTCAAATGTTGCCAACCAGGAGCCGGAAATAATACCCTGGCGGTGGTCGCGAGAAACAAAATTAATAAGTGCGTCGGAATAACTCTCGGTGACTGAAAATATGGTGCACGTGATGTTTCAATCACGGTCATCCAAGATCATGGTGGAAGAGCACAACTAGCGGAACGATTGACATAATCAGTACGTTAGGCGCTGAGGGCCAGGAATCTACCGTCCGAGCAGCCACACACTGTCCGAGAGAAAGAGAGTTCGAGCGGCGCATTCGTTTCTTGCATCTTTCTGCATGATCATAATGGAACCATCATGTGCACCCTATTTTCAACCAAAAAGGGTTACTACATTTAACTCTTACGCATTTATTTAAGTGATCAAAACTGCTTTTCGCTATACCGCTAGGGTATTTTTTTCAGCTTTTGGTTGTCCAAGAGAGCATGTCAATCCCTTTTCCCGAGTACGGTGCACGCCCCGACTCTGCCCGCGCCTCCCATTGAGCAAACTATGTCTATACACCGCTCTGGACAGCAGGTTAGAGCTTGTGCATCATCTGCCCCCATCTGACGATACCGCATTCTGATTTCTATGTTTTGTACTCTTCATGCTTCTCCCGCAGGCGACGACTATGGCTCTGGCTCGGCCCCAGTTCCACGGCCTCCTGAAGAGCTACATTCGCAAGCACCTCATCATTTGCCTGTCCTTAGCCGGTGTCGGCGGCGTGGCGTGGCACTATGGCGTCTGCGAAGCCAGGAAGAAGGCCTATGCCGACTTCTACAAGTGAGTCCCAATGGAGGTCACATGGTAGTCGAGCTGGTCTTACATTGCTGCGGTTGCTAAAACCCTTGACCGGTCTGTGTAGCGTTCTGTACCGCCCACGACTCGAAAGGGGTCTTGAAGTGCCGACACCGTCGGATGTCGCAATCGCTGCCGCGACGGTCGCAGTCGTTGCAGCATCCTGGCTGCCAAAGCTTCCATGAACTGTGAAGCATTACAGTGACCTACTGCACGCACCTCTACCGCTGTGCCACCTGCCAAGACCGTGGTGGGCGACAGCTCGAGGACGTAGTAAGCGCATTAGTCGGAGAAGCGTTTTGAGCATCTTAGAGGGGCCCTTCGAGGGCTTTTTTTACCGGTTTTTAGTTTGCACCGAACCTGAGCGCACTGAATCTGGTAACTTAATGAAACTTTCCTCTCCTCAAACTTCGCTTTATTTTAAAAGTTATGGGCAAATTAAAATTACAAAAACAAGCAAAAAATAACCTCCTGCATGACGTCCTTGGTCGCCTGAGTGGCCGTGAACTAGAGGAGAAGTAGTGAGCTCAGCGAGTGCTCACGGCTGCCGCACTGGGTGTCGACGGCTCGAGAGGGCCGTTAAAGCATATTCTGGATAGGCTGTGTGAAGCGGGCAGCTCTCATTGTATTTGCTGCGCGATTAAACACTAATCCGGCATGACGCTTCATTGGCCACAAACGACAGCAAACACTGGGTAAAGATCAGTTCAGAACGGGAGCCACTTCGCACCGCCGTACCGCCAAAGGGCCAAACTGCAAGCCAAAGCTGCTCGCTGAAGGCCTTCGGAACCGGTCGGATCCCAGACTGCAGCGCCGCCACATACATCCGGGACCTTTCTATGCTCGCCGCTCGTCAGTGCCTGATCCCACTACACCTTTCTAGTATGTGCCGCCTTTTCCACCGCTTGGTGGCGGGTATGTCAACGGGTCATTTTTTGTTTCCGTACTTTATAAACTTCATTTGTTTCTTTTCTGATCTAAAATACTGAAAAAAACTACTTATGAATAATTGAAACGGCTCGTGCCACTTATATTTTGTATTTCGACTAAAAAGAAGCTTTTGGCGGCTCTGACCAATAAAAGGCCGGGACCTAAAACGTCACAATGTCGCATATTGTGCGCTTTCGGCACCGCGGGTCACCCCCGGAGGTGGAGGAGGTTTCTGCGTCGTCCGGTTAAAATATGACGCACTGATATTTAGTTACTCTCTCCGTGCCCGCTGGCTTGCCCGAACCTCAAGAGACATGGAAACCGCAAAAAAGGTAGACGCTTAAATATGATTGCAGCAGGGGTGGAACGGCTGCGCCATTTGCGCCATTTTGCGCCAGACGCATTTGTCTGCGCCATCCTGCGCCATTTCACGGAAACTGCGCCACAGCCAATACCTTGCGCCATTATGCACCAAATCGCACAACGTGTGCCAAAAAAAAAAAAAAGAAAAGTATTTTGTCTTGGTTTCGGTTCCTATCGACTCGATTGGCAACAATTAGCCCGTTTAGCTTGGTCGGCCTTGCAATCCTTTGTTCTGTTTATTCTCCCTGTGTATCCCGAGTCGGAAGCGCGCGAAAAAACTCGGGGATCGGATTCGAATCGCTACACCTGCGACTGGACTGTTATTCTTCAACCATAAGTAAGCAAGTCGACCGAGGTGAGGTCGAGTCGTTAAGCGTCAGATTGCCTGAGGCTCTGCAGCCCGGGATCCGGACGTCAGCCAATTGAAAACAAATGAGCAAAATACTCCTTTTAGTACTTCATCGTTAGAAGTTGAAACAGCATTCCTGCAAGATAATTGCGATTTGATAGAACTAAAACGCGGTCCGATCCGGAACCTTGCCTGCCAGCTGCTGTCACGCGAGCGGTAGATCTGCTCGGCGTACTTTAACCTTGCTCCCGCTAATCGCTTTGAATACGATAACTCCATTAATTGTAGTCTGCTGCTTCGATATTGAGTTGCACAATAGGATAAACTCGAAATTTGTTGCCCTGTTCCTCCACGCAACTGCACGTCCGTTGCTTACGCACGTCATGTGGTTCGCACATATAATTACTATGTCGAGCACGTGGGGGTTGTGCGATAAGCAGTGCTGGTTTGCATTTTGAGCAGCTGAAATCCACTCAGAAAATATCAAGGACACCATCTTCAGAAACATATGGTACTTGCTTTTTGGTTCTCATTAAGGCTTACAAAGTTTCAAGTTTTGGCATCTGTTACACTGTTATCCCATTACCTAGGTCCCTAACCACTCATGTTCATCTGTGCTGCTAAGCACAATTGAAATTGCTCCCGTGCTCGTCTAAGACACAAGCTGAAGTGCAGTGAAAACTGATCTGAGCTGCTCCTAGCCTGCTCCAGAATGTAGTTTTAGCTGCTCCCAACCTGCTCCAAAACAGCGGTTTCAGCTGCTCCCGTGGCTGCTCCCAAATACATTTCATGAGTTCCACCCCTGTTGCAGGGCACCTTTAATGTACGAGACAACACCGGTCACGTTTCGAATTTACTCCATCTCGCTGCGGAGTAAAAGTTTGCTTCCTCGGTGTTTGAGAAACCCACCGGCGTCGCCCTGTCTGTGTCGTCGCGCGTTACTGCCCACGGGAGTAACTCTGATCTACTCGAGAAAGAATGCGGTCAACGTGTTGATCACCCACCGGAACCTTGTATAGTCTTCGTCCTTACTTTGTGCAAAACCGGTTAAGCACGTGGCCACCTCGGTGAATTCGCGGGGAAGCCGTGGTTGGTGTGTACCCGCAGGCTATTGCAACTTCACTAATGTGGGACCTTACCGTAGAGCTGCAGCCAAAATAAGGTGTATGCTAGTATAGCCATTAGCAGGGCAAGAAGCACAGAGTTACGGCAAGTTCATTTTTTCGTTCTAGGTTAGTATTAGTGTGCTTGATGAGCACTATTTTTCTTTCTAGTACTTATCATCCAGGCAAGAAAGGCGGAATCACTGGGCTGCGGACGCGTGTGTAGCGTCCAATGTTCCGCAGCCCTGTGGACAAAGATGGTAGCGCACGGAAGGCAATTATTGGAATGATCTTGAAACGAATATGTCGCTAGTTCTGTCGGACTGTTTGCCAACTGGTTATGGAAGACAGTTCTCTCTCAGAACTGTTTGTTGACCCTTGACAAGGCACAGCAATGACATTCTTTTGTTGACACATTTGTCTTTCCCTTCACACAGAACCTACGATGCGGCGGCCGACAACGAGCGGATGACCAAGCTCGGGCTCTTCCAGTCAAACCCAGGCCCGGGCCATTGATGATGTACCCCCAACCTTCCGTCTCGCCAGTTAATAAAGGCACTTATGTGCATCCAGTAGAACCTTTGATGGATTACTGATTTGTTGCTACATACTTGGAAGACTTTCTTTCGACTGCAAGGCTCGTTGGTGCAGTAAGTAGTGTGAATGCAGCGAAACCAGCTCATGAAAACGACTGGTGCTCACTTTGCATATTTTGGATTGGACCACCTGGTTTGGGGGTGATCTTCACAAAATCCTAGCGGCCCAGTGGTTCGCTGTGTCTACAAACGCCCAACTTGCTAGAAGCTCTCCGAGTAGTTTGCATGGGAGTCCTTGGCTAGCTAGAGCACCACAAAATTTCTTATCTTCAATCTAGGCAGGCTGTCTGGAGTCATTTACTAGAATGATATACACCTTGCTTCTGCAGCCTATTTGAGCACCAAGCCCTTGCTTGCATACAACACAGTTGAAGTGGCTGGCGGGGAGCATCTGGCCTGATCTTGTTCATTTGTGCGCGCTCTGGCCAATGAGGTAGAGGGCCTTAGAGCGATAAACTGGCAGCTGAAAGTGACCCCCAATTGGCCGCCACCATGTTGCACATTTTTTACCGCTAGACACGTGACCTTGTAGTTTCACACCTAGATTTTAACAGCACCGCGCGCAGATAATTGCTTAGTGGTCTTTAATAACAGTACCGAGGAGATAATGATCGTTTAAAACGTGCTTTTACGACAAAAACTGGCAGCTTCGCAATGCCTCCGCTAGATGCCGTCGGCCGCGGTGCCGTATTTTGCATTTTTATCGGAGCTACACTGATCTCTGGGGCTAACAGTATTGAAAAATTGGTTTATCATGTTTTTTTACAGCAATTGCAATACAAATTTCGGCACAGTTCTGCGTAAAAGCCTCGACATTTGGTAAGGTCACGTCGCGTGTCTAGTGGTCAAAATTGTACAACATGGAGGCAGCCAAGTGGGGGTCACTTTTGCCTGGTGAACGGGATACCAGTTTATCGCTCCTCTACCTCGTTGGCTCTGGCGCAACCGAGTAGCTACTATAGGCAGTATCAACTGGCGGCCATGGTTGTGTCCGACTGCTAGCACGTGATGATGGCAAGCTTCCAGTTCTTTTGCAAAGTGCATTCCATACCATCAAGATTGTCAAGACTTGGCAGTCTATTAATGGGAGCTCGTTCTGAGCATGCACTCTTAAAGGGATACTACAACAAAATTTCGGTGCTTATTTCTTTGTCTATTCGTGTTCAGGGGGCATTATCACATCAGACACACCAATATCTCCTTGAAAAAGACGCAGAAAGGAATTTTAAAACGAATTAAACGATTAGCAAAGAGCACCTGGTGAATGTAGCTAACATCTCGTTCGTAATGCCAGTCTAGGAACCTTGACGGGTAGTGACAATAACTGTCTCGCCTCCGGCCACGACGAGGGAAGAGCTGAAGGAGGAACCCCCTCTCCCCAAAACTGTCTTTTGTGTGACCCAGAAGTCGTCATTGTCCCTCTACAAGGTTATAAATTAACCCGTCACTCAAAATTCGTACAAAGGCAGCTGCTGGGTTACTTGCGGTGGCCCGATCGCTGGTGTGCTTCAGCTGCTTTCAGCAGATGCTACAAGCCATCAGGGCCTATCCAAAGCCGTGTGAATGTCACATGACCTTAGACAGGGGGCGCAGTGGCGCTCATCATGGGCTACGTCCACAGAGCGAGAATGGCTGGGATAGCTCGCAACTTCCGCTGCATCAGTACGTAAGGTCCCGAGACAATCTACGCCACAATTTTGGGGGATGCAACGTGCTCTCCGCTGGCTGCTCTCCGAGCGTTTGCCAGAGTGGACCGTTCATAACGAAAAATACAGCCATCGGGCTGAAAATACAGACGTGAGATTGTCATTTACGGATATTGTGGATCATATTCAGCCTATTTGTGAACTCGACAGGTATATTTCAAATTTCGTTGAAGTATCCCTTTAACAGCACCTTCAAATATGACGTCCGATGAATATCCCCTATAGGGGGTATTCACTGGATGCCACATTTAAGATCATGCTCATTCCAGGCACATGCCCGGAATGAGCATGCATTAATAGGGGGTATTCACTGGACGCCATATTTGAGAGTGACGAGCACATGCTCAGAACAGGGTCCCTATCACAAGAGCGAATGACATTTTAGCGAACGGCGACATTTGAGCGAATGGTCGTTTTAGCGAATAACGGGGGCGCGCGTTAACCCATCCGTCGCGCTGCGCTTTACGCCGCTTCGCGGCGACAGTCTACGGCAACTCATTACAAAAATATGAACTCACTTGGCCCACCCGAAAACGTCGCTTCGCGGCGTCCGACTATTCGCTAAAGTGTCGTTCGATGAAACGTGGGCGTTCGCTAAAACGTCATTCGATCAAGTGAGTGCCTCCCCTCAGAACAAGCTCACATTAATAGGATGCCAAGACGGGCAATTTTGATGGTGCGGAATTCACGCTGCAAAAGAAGTGTGGCAGATCGCCGTTGGCACGTGGTTAGCAGTCGCACACACAACTATGGCTGCCAGTGAGTACTCCCTAGTGTTGGGCACCAAGTAAGACATGGAATATAACTTCCCTTGAGCATTCAGTTCCACAGTGAGGATCATCAAAGTAAGCACTGCGCAACCATTAATGTAATACCTGAACGGTGATCCCATTAAACAAAGGTAAATTATATGCAGTTTGGAGCAAAACCAGGTGTGGATAAAAAACTTACCATCATGGCGAAGGTCACAAACCTTCAGAAGATGCCCAGTTTGCTGCTTCTGGGCAATGCATCTTGCCACCCTGGCCAGACTTTCCGAGGGAACCACAGGCCTAGCCAATACTACACCCTAGCTAGACCCCGTTTTGTTGGATGGGGAGATTGATAGTCAAGCGCACCGCAGATCAAAGCACGTGAAGTGGTAGCTCGCATTGCAGAAGCCAGGGGTTCCCCGGTTCAATCCGTCTCTTTCGACCAGGATGAGCATCATACTGCTGTTCATTTGTGCGCCAATACTGTGTGACGCATGCTAACAGCCCAAGCTAGCAGTCATACTTTACTGGCTAAAGTTTGCCATCGCGCAAACTACAGCCGAAGTCATCATTACAGACTCGCAGCACGCGTGCCGTAATTTCTCCAGAGGAAGAATTCGCCGTACAACAGAATGGATTATCTCCCAACACCCGCCAGATAGACCCCTTACTATCATATGGGCACCCGCCCACTCCTCTGTACCGGGCAATGCAACCGCCCACCTCTTGGCCCGAGAGTTATCCCGCCGGGCCCTGGGAGACGAGCAGGAGCGGCCGGTCCCATTGGTAACATACCAAGAGATAACGCAGCACTATAGGTTGGAGCGACGTACCTACCCAACCCCACATAAACAACTATCGAAAGAGCAGGAACGACATCACCGTGCCCTACAAACTAACACCTTCCCTCATCCCACTAAATGCCATATCTTTTTCCCTACCCTCTATTCCCCATTATGCCGCTTTTGCGGAGCTCCTGGGACCCTCTTTCATATGGTAGGAGGATGCGACCAAAATCCCACCCAATTGTCTAACCCCTTCCAATCTTCATACAAGCTTTGGGAGAGAGCACTGACCAGCTCCAACCTCGATGACCAGCTCATGCTCGTGTCGAGGGCTGTGGAAACGGGGAAGGCTCAAGGCGTCTTGAACTAAGGACCCCTCGCCATCGCTTTTTCATAATAAAGATGTTTATTCTCTCTTTCGCCATACCTCATAAGGCATGACAAGCTCAGCATTGGAGTCGAGCTTTCACCAAACTGTATGCAAACAAACATCTGACTCGGCGGCATCAATTTGTGCTCCAAATATGGCCTTATGGGACTGCTGCACCAAAGGCAGCTCAAAAGCATGGAAAATGCCATACCCACTAAAGCTTTCTTTGAAACAATCGACTTTCTGTATGTTCTTATAAGAGTACTGCAAGCCCCCAATTTCATGTAATCTCCAGGAAATTTGTTTTTTTACAGCAGAGCTGTTAAGGGCTAGTTTCCCCAGGGTCGTGTCCCCCGCAAAAGAAATGTCGACACAAAACTCTAATTGCTGTCGTCGCTCATAGATGGCGGTAGCTGTCCAGAGTGTTGTGTTTGCCGGCGCAACCTTTCGAGCCTTTCCGCTCTGGCTTGCCGACTTACGGCCAGCCATTACTTCATTCTCACCATAGTACAGCTTCGCTGATCCTTCTTCACCAAAGTGGAAAGACTAAAAGTTATTTTTTTTCTAGACAATCAACATTTTTAACTATCATTGAGCAGCCCGTTCTATGTTTCTTGACCCCAAACACGAGCATGTAGTCTTGGACCACAGCTACGCGGTCAAGCTAACGTCATCTGAAAAGAGGCATAATACCTATACATGGCTTGCACGTAATATGCCATTGCATCATGCCGGTGGCCATTCCTACTCATTCTTGCCAAGAAAAAAAGAGCGACAGTGCGAAATGTATGCTGCCGAAGGTATGCGCCACTCAGCAGCAAGGCTACCACAATGGCACCTGATGCAGCTCACCACTCCAAGTCGGGTATCTCCAAGTATAAACTTCCGAGAAGAACAGGTGTGCCAAGCGGCATGGATGACACAGGTGCCAGAGGTGCAATGTGTTCAAGTGACAGTTTTTAATACCGGTATGAAAACTTACAACAAACCATAAAAAGTTTTCTTCCTTACAATCTGCAGCATAGTGTCTGTGGTTCATCTAGTGTATTTTTTTTTCTTCTATACAGAGAGATGATGGAGCAAATGTACAAATATATTCACAAGGCAGTTACAGGATAAAAAAGAAACACCGCCCTCTAAGTAAGAGAGACAAAAAAAAAAAATGAAAGGAGTAGAGAAAGAGGCGGGTCGCCACGGGCACCGCAGCCGCAGACGCCCGCTCGACGTTGGAATGTGCGTCGCGGCTGCGGCGCCTTTGCTTCCTCCGCGAAAAAGACGCAACATACTTTACAGGCAACACAAAAAGCGGGTTCGGAGCGTATGGAAATCTTTCAAACGACAGCCGACTTTGGGAAAGGAGAGAGGAGGTGGGACAAAGGAACTAACGTAAAAGCCTAAAACAATGCTACAATGCCTTCTGCACTCGCAAGAACGATAGTATCTACAGGCTCGCGTCCGCAAGAAAGCGTCGGCGGCGGCAGCAATAAAATGGTTTCCGCGTTTTTCTTTTTTTAATAAGGCTCTTTCAAGTTGCATTTCATTGTACACGTGGCCTCTTCTCGGCGAGAAGCGCGGGGAAAACGCCTGCCCGCTGCCCAACAACTATTTACAGGATGGCGGCGTGCGCGGCACGGAAAGGGGACAGGCTAGGGAAGGGGAGACGAAAGCAACGCTCGAAAGATGGGGAACGGTAGGGAAAGATGAAGACGTTTCCTTTGTTGCTGTTTAGTGGTAGTGTGTCGTAGTTTTTTGTTTTTTTTTCCCTTAAGGCCAGACAAGGTGGTGTCTCGAGTGTGGTACTCTTTCTTTCGCAATTAACTCTGCAGTTTTTTTTCTTCCCTCGTTCTTCTGCATAAGTGGTTATAAGAGAGGCAATTGCAAACGCCCTGCACTTTGTTCCCACATCGCTGCAAAGTCCATTCCGCTCTTAATTTAAGCTGGGGGCAACAAGACACCAAAACGAAATCGGGTAATGAGGGGAATCCGATGCGATTTCGGGAACAACGCTAAAACGACCAACGGAGGACAAATGCCGAAGGAACAAGAAGAAGACACAAACGACCCAAACCCGGCCGACAAACATCTCTCACTAAACAACCACTTGTAAGAAAAAAAAAAGGGAAGAACAAATTATACAATAGATTCCTTTTCTTTCCTTTAACACATACATACACCTTTGGCATGAAAAGCTCTCGCCCTTCCGCTACGCGGCACACAACAGACTGACATGGGAGAGAACTTTGCTCACTGCAACCGTTTGCAACGCGCCCCCCCCCCCCCCCCAATCGGTTAGTCCACGGCGCAATCCGGAAGCCGACGCAAAGCAAAAAAAAAGTTTGAGATAGACGAATGACAACCAAACACGAAACGAACAAGATCTGCTTTCGTTTCTTTCTTCTCGTTGCAAACACAAGAAACCCAGAACAAACACGAAAGGAAAGAAATTGAGAAGGAAAAAAACATTGCCGTCAAAAACAGACAAAAAAAAAATGCAGCACGCACGTGGTGTGCCCCAACATGGTGGAGGATGATGAAGAAAAGGAGAGGAGAGGAGATATGAGCTTTCTCTGTACAGCGTGTGTGGCATGGCGATATGAACTATTTACAATGCAAATAAACGGCGCAACAAAAAAAAAAAAAATAAAAAGAGAGCGACAGACACTTTCTCTTTTTATCCTGTACACAGATACATCACTATGTATACAGCCCTCCTCCCCCTATCAGCCCCACTCTTGCAAATCTATAGCTCTTCCTCCCGGTGAAATTAACGTGGGGGAGGGGGTCGTGAAAACATAAAGGAGGGGGAGGGAAATAAAAAAAAATACATGTTAAGAAAAAAAGAAAAACGAGAAAAGCATTGCATCTCGACCGGCCTCGTAGCCTCTCTCTTTCTCAGTCCGATCTCTCCTTCCCAAGCTTGTGTTGGCAACGGCAGCACCATGATGGAGGGGAGTGGCCCGGAACGCAAGTTGCGCCGCCGTCGGGGTGCGATTGCGGCGCGGGGAGGGGGAGAGGGCACAACGGGTGAGGGAGGGAGGGTATGCCAGGGGGCAACGGGGGAAGGGGAGATAGGCGCTCTCTTCAGAAAATATGCGGGATATCTCTTCTTGGTTCCCTTCCTAAGGCCCCGTGAGTGGTTGCTACCTATGGCTGTCCTTGGAGTAGCGTCGCCGCTTGTTCGGGGCAGCCGCCTCCTGCTGGGAGTCTGTGGGGGCAGACAGAAGGTGCGAACACGGCGGGTGAGGAAAGGTAGCGGCCAGAAACGAAAACGCCGATGCAAGACGACACTTTTTTTTAGCCTCTGTAGGCCCATTCACACATACGCCCACAAAGCTGACTCGGAGCTACAGGCAAACCGATGACCTTGCGCTATTGACGAGGATGTTGAACTATGGGGAGCGCTACGTCCAGCCTGCTTTCTCCACGGTTCTGTTGTTTACCAACTCGAGGCACATACACTGGATTCTTTACTCCATCTTTCCCGATGAAGCGCAGGGCAAAGATTGAGCCTGCCTTGCGCCCAATGTTTTTTCCAGCGCTGCGTTTCTGTGTTTCACCAATAGAAGCATTCCTTCGTTGAAAAGCACTCGTTACGGAGGTTAACTCTGCGATGAACCAAAAATGGTCAACGTCAGTTAGCGCACACCAACTTTCAGAAGTAATGGCCGTGAGTGAGGAGCACATTTTGTAGATTCCGAATTTTTCTTTTGTCGTTTAATTTGATTTGACAGCTGTAAAAGTTTCAGCTTTTTTATGCATTCTGCAGGTACATTGTACTTTCAAGAAATTAATCTTTTAAAATTTTTTGCCAACACTATACCAACCCCTGTTTCTTTTGGAGGAACAACTGGACACATTTTGTTGTGTCATATCGTCCCATACACAAATCAGTCAGGAAAATAAAAGTGTTTGCACGGATCCCTTGAAAACTGCTAGTTTTCCCGTGGTTATTAGGAAAGAGTTAAGGAGCAATCGTTTCAATTTGTTTAGAGAACATTAAATAGTCGTTCCAGAAGTGAAGAAGTTATACATTTATCAATAAAATCTATGTTGGCGTTAGGTCACGCGACATAGATTTCCCCGTTAAATTTTGCGGGGAAACGGGTGAACAGACGGAAGGACAAACTAAGGAGCGTTCCACGCTTTAAAACGGCTGAAGCCAAACTTGTGAAGCACCTGGATGTCATTGGATGCCCCATAACTCCCGCTCCCCCTTAAACAATGAGATCTCTTCCCGAGACGTGTCAAAATGCGGGTCTGTGCCGGAAATAAAGAAGGACCGGGGGCCACCACCCACCTGTACTGGGTCCCGACGCCCGTGTTTTCCTCTTGATGGCGACCACCGTGTCGTCGTCCCTTCCAGAGGACTCCTGGTCCCGCCGGTAAGCCCGTTGGTTCGTCACCCGAGGCGGAGATCGGTGGTCGCGCGCTGTCACACACAGAGAGCAGAATCGAACGTGTTACTTCGCACCTCCTGGTACACCCCCCAATCGCTGCCCATGCGCGACTTCGAATGGTCCCACTCTGAAGCCCATCTCTCTTCCACTCACTTACTGTATATGTCGGCATATAGGTCGACTCCGAATACAGGTCTAACCCCCCCAAATTCGATCCCTTTCCTTTTTCTTTTTTTTCTTAATACCTATTGTCAGCATTAGTTTTATTTAGCCTTCTGCCCTGCACAAACACGCCAAAGTTTGTATGTGCTTTGGTCTAATGTCTGGCGAGTTTCCTGGGTCCGAATTATTGTGTAATGTTATAATTAGCTAAATACAGATTTTAAAAATAAAGTATATAGGCCTATGCTTTGATTCAGCTTAATTCTTTTTTTCCCTAATATTTACTTCAACTTTTAGTTTTGTATTTATATCTAGGATCATGTATTTAGGTTTTTCTCACTTATTTAGTCTAATTATTTTGCGGCCCAGGAGGCAGCAACAGATCCCTGATCTGGCTCCTTAGCCAAAAAGTTTGGAGAGCCCTGATCTAGGGCATGGCTTCTTTCATCGATAGCCAAGACCGTCTCGTCATTTATGCGGTAGAGTGATGCAGAAGGCTACAGACCTTGTAAACAATAACGCGCATATCAAGGAGCATTTGGCTTATAGTTACGCATCAGTGGGAGGCTCAGACCTCCTAAAATAAAGGTTAGACTGTAAAAACATTTTAGTTAGGGGGGAGGAGAAGGGTGAGAGCTTGGGAGCTTTGGGAATGCACGAGGGTACCTAAGGAAGCTTCTGAGGAACCCAGCGACTTGACTAGGAGTTACGTGAGTTTTTCAATTTTTTTTAACCATCCTTGCCCCTTGAGCCACTAAATGAGCAGCACTTAAGAGTATCGGCACTCTGGTCCCCGACATTAACTTGGGCGCCGCCATTTCGGTGCTTGAGCAGAGCAGTCGCAACTGCCGATCATCATGACTCAAAAGTGTGACTTCCTCAGCATTAGATTCGTGTTAGGAAGCTGATGCAGTATTGCTTTGCTCTATCACGGACTGTTTAAACATTTGTGGAGGACGGAAAAGCGTTTTCCGTGATTTCAGATAAAGCGTAAGATAACTGGCAACCATGATATTAAGCCACAAAATGGCCAAGTGTCGTTACTCTGAAGCGTAGCTCATTTAGTGGCACCACTTACCCCCAGGTAAAGTAGTTTTCAAGAACAGCTTAGCCGATCTGGGTCTATTGCTGCATATCCGCAAGTCAAACACCCCCCAATATGCACACTATGGTTCACAACATCTGTAGGCTTCATTTCGTTGCGTCAACGACGAAGCCGGTAGGGGTTCCTCGGCTGCCGTTTAAAACAGTCGAGTTTCTCCAGACTGAAAACCCGATGTAGGAAAACTCATCACCGCTGATACAGGGAAACGTTTCCCACTGCGAAAAAAAAACAAAAAAAAACTTGCCTTATCTAGGGATTGCTTTTTCCCTAAAGGGAAATGTTTGCTCTCTGGGGACAGAGACGGAAGGGCAAGGTGCGAGCCCACTCACTGGCGGCGGGGGATCTCCTCGACCTCTCGGTGGCCCTTCGGAGTGCCTCTTCCGTAACGGATGGCAGCAGGGAGTTGGCCGTGGACACCTGCTGCTGCGGCTGCTGCTGCTGTTGGACGCCGCCGCCAGCCCCCACCGTCACCCCCTGCTGGGGCAGTTTCCGGCCCCCCTTGGGCTCGGCTGCCAGCCTCCTGGGCCGGCCCCCCGTCCCCTCTTCCCTGCGGGGCGCCGGGGGAGGGGGCAGTGCCTCCTCCCTCTCGTTCTCCTTGCCCCCGGGAGGAGGAGGGTGGTGGTGGGGCCGCAGGGGCGGCCGGCCGGCGCCCGTGGAGGGGGCGCGCGTCCGCGACTTGTGCGCCAGCTCGCTCAGCGACATTTCCTCCTCGCTCGAGTGGTCCGACGGGGCCGACGGGGCGGAGGAGGCTGCGGCCTGTTGCGTTGTGGGCGGCGTCGGTGACGCTGCGAGGGACGGGCGGATGCCGTCAGCAACTGTCTTGCGGGAAGCTTGTGCACCCTCGCAGACGAGCGACACACTCGAGTACGACGTGCAATAAAAAAGCTCAGGGTCCCATGTACAACGTGGTACTTATCTTACTTCCCCTCTCAAAATAATCCCCTCGTGCAGTGATACAGTGCTCCCAGTGCTTCTGCCACTTCGGAGGAGCTCCTTGAAAGTCCTCCCTTTTTGAAGCGTGTCGAGCACCTTTGGCATGTTGCGCTGGATCGCACCCACGAATTCGAGACTGCGACCCTTCGGCCTGAGCTTCGATGGAGGAAAGGGGAAGAAGTTGCGGCGGGCTAAATCGCCGCATCTTCGTCAAAAGCGTGCCGTATTGTTTCGAAGGTCTCTGTCTAGATTCAAAGTTTGACTCCGAATTTGACGTTCGCTTGCTCTTTGCCGAACTTTGCAGACCACGCTGAAATCGCCGACGGGCTTGCACACGGGGCGACAAAAAGCTGTACAGCGCACCTCCGAACATTTGCAAAACGACACCCCTCAGTGCAACGACGTAGGTAGGTTCCTGCCTATGGCAGCTGCACACGCACCACTGTGCCGCCCTCTCCTTTCACGCTACGAAACTAGTTTCAGAACGTTTTGATCGCACCTCGTATGCAAGTCTCTCGTACGTGCAGGAAGCCTTTCACAACCAGCTCAAATCCCAGGGTACACGACTTTTGTAGATGACTTTTAAGAATCGCTAACAAGACTATCACAATCGCATTACCTTACGAATTGATGGATTTACGAAAACGAGAGTGCAAGTCTAATCTTTAAAGGTTTCACGAGAAGGACCTGCACCCGAGCTCTGAAAGCCGACAGAGGAGCCCCGCGGCAACAACAACAAAAAAAAAGATTTTTCGACTGACCTCTTCCGGCACGTCTTCGCTGGTTCCGGGGCCTTTCCTCTCCCTCCTCGCCGAGCCCGTCCTTCTCGAGCGACGCCTCCAGCATCATCCCGATGTCGTCCTCGTGCGTCAGCTCGTCCTCGTCCGAGCCCCCTTGGTGGTTGTCCAGGCCGCGCAGCCTCGCCGCGAGGTCGTCCTCGTCCACCATGCCTGGGTTCTCCGTCGTCGCCAGCATGGCCGAGAAAGAGTCCGGCGCCTCCAGCAGGGGAGACTGCACCCCCGTGTGGTTCGCCAGTAACACCGCCGGGTGTTCCAATCGTTCCACCCGCGTCACATCCTCGTCGTGCCAGTGGTTGCCTTCCACGACCTCTGGGACGCACTCGCTTGCTTCGATCGTATCCGGCACTGATGACGCGTCGTCAGCCGGCTCTTCTCGCGCGACGAGTGAATCTGGTTCGTTGTCCGTCTTTACGTGCGTCGGAGCAGACGACGACGACGTTGAGATACCGGTGCTGGTGACAGATGTTGCGACGACGAAGGAAGAAGCCGTCGAGACAGGAGACACGGTCGACACGACGAGGACGGGCGACGACGGCGTGCTGCTTGTCGGAGCGACGAGTTCCGACTTAACGGTGGGGCTAGGGGACCCCAGGGGTAGAGAGAGCAGCTTGAGCGGGTGCATCTTGGCGGCGGCCGCAAGCGAGGAGGGGCTGCTCAGGAGGGACTGCTGGCAGGTGTCAGTGCCGGGGCTCCCACCCGCTCCGGCCAGGGCGCTCTTGATGATGAGGGTCAGCCGCTGCTGGGAGGAGTCGGCCGAGGGGGACGACGATCCCCACTGGGATGAGGAGATCAGGCGGCCGCTCGGAACCTGGGGAATGGTGCGACGACAAAACTGAGGAGGCTGCAAAACAGTTTTAATGCAATAGCATTTCTACCATCTCCCCCCTCCACCCCACCCCTTTATTTTTCATTCCTTTTATTATTCCCCAACTCAAAATCTGTTCCCCCTCCATCCTCCAGGTAAATTCTCTTCCATGACGTGAAACTATTTGGCCACCCGTCCTCCTCACCACATCAAACGGACGTGCGGGTCGTTGAACGGGGCACTCTGTAAGTGTGACGCAGTTTTCGCAATGGAGCAGACCAAAGATGAGATGGCCAAACGAAAGTGGCAAACAGTAGAACAAAAAACTGGACTAAAGAATTGGATCCCAGCTCTTCCACATGGGAGCACGAGCTGAACAGAAGCGACGAAGTGCAGAGTACAATAGCAATCGACGTGTTAGAGAGACGTCGGAGACAAGGAGCACTGTGGAGCTAGGGAAAGAGAAGCGAGACGGGCTCATACTGTGCGACGAAAGGTCGGGACAAGAAACAAGAAGCTGATGGAAGGCAGTACTCAGTTACCCTCCGTAGGGTTCATCGCCATTTAATCGGCGAAATGTAGCCTTCATAGAGGACGGGGGCAACAATATCGCACTTCGACGCTGTCTGCGGCGACACGCCACTGAAACACAGTCCCATTTTTTGTAGTCCCCTCGAGTGCCAAGCGCTTGGAAAAAAATGCTTCAAATTCGTGAACTGTAGAACTAGAGTTTGTTTCGCTGGTTTCTGATAAAGTTGCATTGTGAGGCTGGCAATCCTTTACCCCCTCAACGCAATTTTTTTTTTTCTTTTCCCCTTGACAGGACGGCTACCACCCCTCAATGAAACAAATGCGAAAACTATTCTCTTGGTGACGGATAATCTGTTTGTCGCACCTGCCAAACGTTGAACACGGACCTGGGCCGGTTTTCTCGAAGCGATGGTAAACCCATTTTGGTAAACCACGGTGCCTAGGAAGGAAAAAGTACCTAGGTACTGTAATAAACGGCTGGATATAGAACAACAATAATTATTTGTGATTGGGCAATAAGATGCGCCATTTATCGGTAAAACAAGTCAGTCATTTTATTTACCCTCTTTTTCTGCTGGTTGTTATCGATCTAGTATTGTTATTTTAAGTCAAAATATAGTAATGTTGTACTTGAAGATCAATTTATTTGCTTCCGATGGTACGAAGAAATTTTAGCTACTACGCTAGAGTTTGACGACGAATATTCGAAAATGTAAGAAACATTTCCTTCAATATGTTTCGCCATACACAACGCATAACTTTCCCGTGTTCCTTCCAGTCTGGCAACGCCGGTGCTGTAGTCTCGTTTTTGTTCCTTGCAACGCACGTTTCTGCGATTCCTGCTAATCTCAACTGTTTGCCCTCTCTTCCGTTTGCCCAACCGATCCACCGGTGACGAGAAGCTAAGCTTCTCGTCACCGTTGAATTGCTGGCCACCGGGGATATGTAGAAACCTCTATGCTGTCGGCATAATGTCGGCGCACTACAAACAAAAAAACAGCACAATGTCTCAGCTGTTCACCCGGAACGAAGACTTATGTCTTGGATCCCGGACTGCTGAAGAGTGATGCGTTCGCGGAATGCTGCCGTTGGTTAGTTTAGTAGTCCCTCTGAACTACCGCTTTGCTTGACGTGCTAATAGGTTGATGGAGCATCATTAATATAACAGCCGGATCGAAATGAATGTTCAGCAGAACCAAGCAGAACTATTAGCCCTCATTAAGCAATGCCGCGGCCATTTTGCTTGTAGGTACTGCTCCTCCCTCGGCGCCCCTGCTCTCCCAGTCACGTGACCTAGAATTCCCCCTTCTAGGGACAATAGTTAACTTTAACCCACGGTTCGCGTTCGAGAAAACGAGCCCAGCTATAAACCTAAAAAACTAATAATATGAAGGTCAGAAGCCTTCCAGAGCTATACGATAGATCGTTTTAGTGTTCTAATAACAATACTAATACTACTAATAATAATCATAATCTTAACTTGCAAAGCAAGGTGCACTGGGTGGCTCACAAGGCTAGACAAAAAGGCAAGGGCCCCTATGCAAGAGTGTAGGGGCCCTTGATCATGCACATGTAGACTAGGTGGAGCAAAGTAGACTGGCCTTGCACGAAAGAAAATTGACAGCAGACGGCTCGGAGCCATGCTGGTGTTGCAGGGAAGTGGAGCATCGCTGTACTTTCTTTATTTTGGGTGCCCGCTAGTGATGGACCAAAACTGTCGAACTTCAGATTCGGCAAAGTTCGGCATACACCAAACGTTTGAAGGAAAGTTCGGCAAAGATTCGGCAAATGTCTGCGCACGCGCGAGAACGCGACGGGGCCATGGATTGCAAATGGACGCCGTGCGATTACCATCGAACAGTGTAGAACAACCAGCGGTTACAGCGAGGTGCAGGAGTAGGCAACGCGGTAACTACGTTTGAGAGCCTTTGCGAGTGTGGTTCTCTTCAATATTTTCTGCCTCAAGAACAGAAGATCGACCAGTAATTTACGCAGTCCACTGCGCAAGTGACAGATATTGCGGTACTTTCTGGATGACGAAATTTTTATTTGACCTTTTTAGTGATGCAACGAGGTAGCTAAAGCATTGACTCACAATTACTTTAACACACTCCTTGCAATTATAACAATCCTGTTTTCGGCTCACAAGAAGTTTGTGCCAAAACAAAATAATATTGCTTTTTAAATTAGTGTTATTTCGCGGTTTTCATCTTTCCGCATAAAACGAAACACAAAACAATCATGCTTTACGTTGCACATCCGACATTCCTAACTCTTCCCATCTTCCTAAACGTCCGTGTGAGTCCTAAGATTAGAAACCGGCATTTTAAAGGTTAAAAACGAGACGTTGCGAATATGGGACGCACACTTTCATGCAAAGTTGACGTCGAGTGACTCAAATAAAAAAACATGCATAATGACAATAATTTGTTATCTTTTCTGGTGAAGGCTCAGTAGCCGTTGCATTCATTTTCGTGCACGAAGCAATGATTCCCAAAGAAAATAAAAACACAGCGCTACTGCCTTTGTATTTACACCACACACACTTGCAGGCTTGCGCTGACGAGGTCTCCAAACCGGAACTCTCATAGCGTGGTTCGTGACTGCGGTGACTGCGCTCGGTGCTACCCAAAGTTGCTATTACCCAACCTCATTGTCACGCCACCTCTGCAAGAAGTCACTAAAATTGCTAGGAAACATAAAAACAACACCGATACAATTATCTTGAAGAATATCACCTTATTTAGTAAAAACTCTGCCAATATGCATTACATGTTGCATTTAAGTTAAGAAAAATACAACATAAAACCTTTTTTTCGCCAGAAAAAACAAAATATCAACGCAAGTCTGGTAACAATGTAGTTTTGCCAAATCTTTAGAAAAGTTCGGCAAAAGTTTGGCTTTGCCGAATCCCAAGATTCGGCGCCGAACTTTCGATTCGGCAGAAGTTCGGCCCATCACTAGTGCTCGAGCGCCCTGCAGCGATACAAAAACGATGCCGAAATTTCTGCCATCGTTAAGCTAATTCTCAACGAAATGCGTCAGCATTTAGCGCGGGGGTTCCGACTCTGCAAAAGACGGGCATTCCACCCCCGCAACGGTTCGCACACTGCTGTGTTCGGAGGGCAAGTCCGTTCTCCCGGGCGTCAGCGGTTTCGGATGCAGCCACCACAGCTTCCCCCGATCCCTGCCTACAATCCACACACTTTTGTCGTTGAGGGGCCAATCTTTACTCTCGGATGTCGGCGGTTTCGCGCGAATGTCGTCGTCGTCGCCGCATCTCGGTTTCATGCTGTCGCAAACGTTTTGCCACTGCCACGGCCACTCGATCCCCTCCTCTCCCGCCATCGCAGCACGTCATTGGAAGTGTGCCAGAAGATGCTTTCCCTCTTTTAAGAGGGAAAGTGGACGTAATGAGCGAACAAACGAGTGAAAGAGCGCGGGGGAACTGCACATCGGCCTCGCGAAACCAGTCCGGTCCGGACCACGGTCGTCCGTGCGAAAGGCAGCTGCATGTACTGGGGCGATGAATGCCGACGCGTTCAAGAGGAGAGCACGGCTGGCGAAACTGCACCCACCTGCATGGCGTTGGAGAAACCGCCGTCCTGCGGCAACAGGGACTGCGCCTTGGTGCAGTTCCACGAGGCGGCGGCGGAAGCGGGCATGACAGTGTCTCTCGTCGACGGGGAGAGACCGCTCTCGGGTGCCACGCACTGACTAGAGGCGGCGGCGGCGGTGGTGGTGGTGATGGTGGCCGGACTCGAAGTGCCACCCGGCGGCGACTGGCACCGACCAGGTGACAGCACAGTTGCCAGAGGAATGTGCCTGCTCGGGCTCTTGCTCGGAGAAGAACTAGAACTCCCTGGATGGCAGAACAAACAGACCAAGGTTCAAAATTTCTGTGTGCAACTTCGTTGCTTGGCTCACTTGTCTATGGCCTCCACCATTTAGCTTACTTTTTTTACTGCCTTTTTCAGACACTTCGAGCGACTGTTGTGATCTCTAGTCGGTGACAGGTCACGAATTTAGTGGATGCCATTCAGCATAATCTTTCCGTCTTTGATAACACCTTGTGGCACCCGCAGCCAAAAGCCTGGCAGAAGACAACGAGCTCATGCTGGGGGCAAAGCTACTGCAGAATTCTTAGCCTATCACTGACTGTAGCAAAACAAACAAGGTTTAGGCTTTGGAACAGTTACTCGTGCGAGAAGTCAAGTAAGCCTATTTTCCATTTAGTAGCCCACCAAAGCTAAAACTAAGCACAGGCTGGTAGATCAGACACCCCCACTAATGCCTTAACCTGCATTTTTTCAGAAAAATTTGGAATCCCAAATGCGTCCTCCACGCCCCCCCCCCCCCCCCCCCCCTTTTTTTTGGTTGCAAAAACATGCTGTTTTTACTTAAATGTAATGCGAGTTTTTTCTGAAAATTTTATGGTTATAAAGGTGACCCTTGAACGGCCGCGAAATTTACCTCGTCAATGCCAATGCGGCCTTCTGGGTTTCTGTAGCTTTTCAATCATACGTTGGCAGCAGGCGACGTTTACCTCCCGATGTATAAGATGACAACCTTGAATCCAGATCCAAATCTATCGAAACTGTCAGTTTGTGCATTTCTCTCGGTGCTAACCTCCCCAGCTAACTCGAGGGTGACTTAACTGGCATAACAGTTTCCAAGTTTTAACACTTAACACTCTGGCTTCTAGCGTGTGGTTATGTCTTGGAGCTTTTGCGGCTTTCGTTGCTGTCAAGCATTCTGGCCGAACCAAATAAAGTACCGTAACGATACCTTACTATTCCCCAGTTAGCCTCGTGCTTCATTCGTGGTTCGATTTTCTTTCCCACGGGGCAATACGTAGAGCTGCTCCTCGTGTTATAAACCCAGTCGCGCTAGAATCAGGCAAATATGATAACCCACCGTTACCTTATAATTCATATCGGCGTAATGTGGTAAACGGCGAATCCTACAGCCCCCATGAGAATCATTTCGGAGCGACGTAACGAGGCATGTGACGGCCCTCGCGACAGGAGTGAACTCCGACGATGCAATGTCGCGTCCCTCGATTCAACACTTCGATCGGCTCACTGGATCTGTTGCTTTCGCCCATTGCCAAATTAAGCTGAAACGAGTTACAGCATATTTCGATTCTACTCTGAGCAGTGACAGCATAGTCTACCGATAGTGAAAATGATGCAACTAATATGGTCGGATGTGGCGGATCGAGTCGTTAGTGAGACATTTATCACCAAATTAAATAGTTAAATAAATATCAAATAAATATTGTTAGCATGTTTTTAACTCAAGTTTTAGAGAGAAAAAAACAAACAAATTAAAAATACAAATTGTTGCAAAAAAAAAATACTCAAATAAATTGGCATTTGTGTTTATACAGCATAAGGTCAGACTGCCTTTGAGATGCAACAGCACTGATATACATCGTGGATGAGAAATTCAGCCAGTGCAGTACGATTGCTAGACTCAAGGGTCTTCAATGTGCATCACGCAGTAACTATGCATGACCGCATGCCGGTGCTATAGTGACTGGAGCATGTCTCCGACCAGCGTCTTTCGCGTCCCATCCCGCTCATACATCCAAAGTGGTCCCAAACAAGCGACAAATGAAGTCGCAGAAGCAGGAGTGTCATGCCATCAAACGGCCAAAAAATGTTGGCGAAGAGCGCAAACAAACACGAGCACCGCCGTCGTTGCAGGGCCTCGACTCTTGGCCGCCGAAGCTAATGTGGACCACCACAATGGAGAGTGACCTGCAGAGAAACGGGCAGGGGGTGGGGATCGAATCCCAAATCCCCGGGTACCGCAGTGCAAGCTTTCGCTCCATGTGCTCCGAGCTACGATGCACTGACCCGCTCAACCGCCGGCACCCCCCCCGACGCATCTCGAATCCTTGCCAGAGCAACGCATTCACTGCTCTTGACGCTCAAGACCACCGCATTCATCTCTAAAGCCAAAGCACGGCGGGAGGCGTGAAGCGCGTGGCGGAGTCCTGGCGTTCGAAGGACGCTCCCTGCCTTTCTCCTTCGGTCGGCAACTATACGGCGGGAAAAGCGGTCGTGAGGTGGGAACTTTTCGCAAAACCCAAAAGTGAAGCCGGGATAAAAAACGTGGCCGCGAGGCTCGACGCTGATTGGTTTTAAGAGGCAGGGGGGAGAAGAAGCCATCGCAGTCAAAAAACGTTTGCATCCGTTGAACTCAGACCGTTCGAGCAAGTGTCTTCCCGCCATGTCGCGACACGTCGCCGCAAGTTTAGGTGCCGTCTGGCGAGGAAGCCCTGCGGGGCATCCGCTCTGCGTCCGGCGAATAGCAACTTGACATCCCATCGCATTGTTTTAAAACAGGGGTTAGCGCCGGCGTCTCATTCCAGGAATTGCTATAGAGCGTATGTGCCACGCGTTAAGCCAGTCGCTAGACTAACGGACAAAGAGCACCGTGCACATAGATACCACATGTCTCACGTGCAACACAATTGCCTGGCAATTTACTAGGTTTCGGCATACATTTTGTACCTCCCTTAGGACCTCGCATACTGCAATATTGGTTTTAGCAGTCGTAACATGTCTAGAAATAAGCCAAGAATGTGCTTCGTATGCCCTTAGAATTAGGAGGAGCCATCAAGAGGTGGTGAAACCACTATCGAGCCAGATAAACCTTCCGCCTGCCTATCTGTCTGTGCATATGGACACGGAGTTTTTCATTTGAGTGTTTACTCAGCAACAGCTCTTTTTACAGCGGAGCTGTCAAGGGCTAGTTCCCCAGTTTCGTGTCCGTGGACAAATAAATCTCAACACAACCCTCTGGACAGCTACCGCCATCTATGAGTGATGGCGGCATAAAGTACAGCTCCGCTGCTCTCCCTTCTTCACCAAAAAAAAAAAAAACTTTTTTTTTTTTTGGTACATTTAAAAACTGTGCGGCGGTTAAAAGTCAAAGCTAGATAGAAGCTTTGATTGTTTCACTATTTATGGCTTTTAGTTATTTCGCTACTCAAAGAACTGCTTGGCCACATTAGCTAGAACAGGGGTTCTCTAATCGGAGTCATCAAATTTTCAGGTAACTTAAACCCCTGCTTGCAAAACACACAATTTTTTTCAAATCTTTTTTTTTTTAACTTTTTTTAGAGCTAGTGATTATACATTTTTTGGGGGATTTTTTAGGTGTAGAGCAGCACAAGCATTCCCTCCTCCAAAAGAGGGTTGTGAATATTTTTCTTTAGTGTTTGACAACCTACTGATGTAAGCAAGCTTTCAGCCGACCTATCCAATAGAAATTCAAGCACCAAAACTGTCTAAATGCAGGTATGGGCTTCACAATATCACCTTGAATTCATAAACTGCAGAAGACGAAGTGAAGGCCCTCTTGTGTGTGAAGGTGATGCTTCTGTTGACGTCTTCGTTTTACACAACGAAATGACCGATGTCATATTACCGGGGGGTGGTTAGCCTTTCATCACGTCGTCACTGTCATAGAGTGGGCTTTTCGAGAGAGCATTTGTTTTGGACTTCATGGTAGTGCACATCTGTCATTGTTTGCTGCAATTTTCATCATTCGCAGAATGACTGCCCATCCTACAAACAGCTAACTCTTTCCCTACCACAGGGAAGAAAAGTAGTAATTTCTAAAGGATGGACAAAAAAAATATTTCAGAAACTACCACCGAATGTAAATGAATGTAGGTTGACCCTTTTTTCAATTTTTGAAAATCTGAAGGGGAGGGGGGTCGACTATAATCCAACCGAAGCATTCCACCGCCGGCAAAAACTAAACAATTGCGATATGAGCAGCTCGGCTTGTTACGAGTTCAACCGGCTGTACCTCTAGCATTGCACTATTCTGTGTGCTCATTTTACAAATTAATTATTTTTTTTTATTCGCGCAGATGAGTATTATTGATAGCGACTCGCAAATTAACCCCAATATAGGGCGGTGAACAGTGGCGTGCCCGACTCCTGGGGGAGGGGGGGGGGGGGGGGGGGGGGCGAGGGGGCAGCGCTTCTTGTAAGAGCCACACCGGAAGCCGCTGGAACAGCCTCACCGCTCACTCACCCCGCGGCTTCTCTTCGCAGTTTTTAGCATGATTTACAATAGTACATCGTTTGATCGAGTGACGAGATCATGCTAAAGCACTAACTATGTTTTTTTTTTTTTTTTTTGTTTTTTTTTGACACACGTGATCTGGGCACTTTAGGTTTTCGGTGCTCGTTTATGGCCATTCTTCACTCGGAAGCGACCAACAACTGCGCTGTTGGACGCAAGTTCAACCCGTCGGAGCGGGTGATGCTCCAGTGGAGTCAGCAGTGGCGCGGGATCTTAAAACTGTGACGGCAAACAAAGAGGCTTCCGTGGGCCAAAGTCTGGTTCCGGAGTTGGAAGTCAGGTTTGCAACGTACGCCGAAAAAGTGTGCAATCAATTCCTACCCGTGACGTCCAACGCGATCGCCAAGCAAGTGTGGAAGATGCGGTTGATTTTGTCACTTGCGAAAGTGCGAGATTTCGTTGGATGACACCGACCACGTGCTTCGAGAATGTAGCAGTGATGACGACGGGACTGATATCACCAGTGGGGAAGAGTCGTAGTCTAGTCCCGGACGGAGTGAAGAACAACAGTGAGCAGCTTCAGTTGCCCCGCCTCCAGCGTGAACTTCCTAGTTTCGATAACGCCTGGGCATCTCATGCACTTCGCGCGTGCATGCGCAGCCAAAGCACACCAGAAGGCATAGATCGCGTGTTGGAGGCTGGGCTTTCAAAACAGATACTTTGCCGTTCTCCCTTGTTCGCAGTAAAATGCGCATCTAAATTTTTTTTTCTTTTTTTGCTGATGTGCAATGAGGGGGGAGGTCGATTTACAATCGTGTAAATACAGTACTTAGCATGTGGATCATCGTGATATATCGAAACATAGCCAATGAGCTGCTCTTTAAAAAATCAAAAACATCTACATTAATGCCTAAAGTTTTTTCTTTTTCTAAATTTACTCATTGATCTTGGAATTTATGCAAAAATTAGAACACATACAGTCGCCGACCGATTTTTCGGACACGTCACATTATTCTAACGTTCACGCCGAACAGCCACTCACCCTTAGAGTTTATGTATAACATTGACAGAAATTTCGGACGCCACAAAGCTTATTACTCAATATTTCTGACATAATTTGCGTGATTTCCTCAATTTACAGCCAGAAAACAGCCGTTGCGATAGCCCTGCGAGCTTTGTCACCGCTATTTTGGTTGTTTATGTTTTGCCCTGTAGCCTCAATACCATGTCCTACGCAATAAACAAGCTCAGTTGAGGCTATAGTCGGGTTGTGCAGTTCCGCTATAGCCGACATGGCCATCGTCTGCCCATTCTTATGGTTCTTCCAGTTCCTCTCGTGGTGCGCGTTTTTCAAATGCGACCGCGAGAAGAGTGGCCGTTTGCTGTTCTTGTGCTCTTTGAGCACGAAGGTTTTTTGCCGATAGGCTGAGCACTGAAGCGAGCTTGGTGGACTAAGCGTTGCCTCCAAATAATGCCAAATGGCGCCAATTTCAACTTCGCTGTTTGTGCCAACAAAGGCACTAACAAAGCGCAGCACCGTGATCAAACAGATCAACAAACAAGTGAAAAGTGAATATAAGCAAAGTTGCACAAGAACTTAAAATTGACATCAAGCAAGTGGAGAGTGGCCAATATGCAACGGAATATGCGCAAAAATTTAATATTATAGCCGATATCGAGTTTTTGGACCGCTTGATTATTCGGACAATTTCGGGGTCCTCTCAGAGTCCGAAAAATCGGACGGCGACAGTATTTGAAATATCTGTGGCTATATCAAAACAAACTGAATTTAAAAGCCCACAAACATACAAAGTGTGCCCCCCCACACCCACCCATGTCACTTCAGTAAGTTAGTCTGTTCTACCTGATACTGTCTCTGTTTCGCCCGTTGGTGAGTTAGCTTTTGTGGTGCCAGTGCCATTCGGAGAAGCTTTTGCATGCAGTGGTGCCTATTCCGGGCCCCGGAGATAAAACTTTGTTTTGCTGTTGGAGCTCAGATCAAATGATATGACACTATTCACAATCCTCACTGCTTACATCAGCCAAAAAGGCAATCCTCGATGCTGACATTAGCCAAAAAGACAAACAGCCGAAGCAGTTAAATTGACCGAGACCCCAATGTCAGCAGGACAGCATGTTTGGTAAATGCCACCGCCGTGCAGAAATTTATTTTCGATAGCTCCCAAGCTTGCAAGAAATTGCAAAACAAAATCAAATCAAAACTCTAGTTGTTTGGCTATCCAAAAGACGGCACATCTTGTTCTGGACCGCCAAATCTGAACTTAGGCCACAGGCAGAAACCACCGATTCATGGCCTGCGGGCATGGTACGGAGATTCAATTCTCGATCCAAGAGCGCGAAGCAATTCTAACGCCCAACAATGAATACTGGCATTCTTACAAAGTTCCAAAATGACTGCCAAGAGGAAGATGCACGAAGGAAACCTTATGAAGCACTCTGTCTACAAAGCGCGCAAGCGTCTGCTTCAGCCAACATTACCAGATCAACTTCGCTGCGGAACCCCCGTGAAGGAGCGAACCCCCTTTCCCCCTCAAGGTTGAGAGCTGTCATTTGAAGTGCCACCTAAATGCTGTGCATCAAAACATGTGAATTATTGTATCCGCCACTCGAATCAACTCTCCGTAACAGCAATCTCCATAACTGTGGCGGTTCGAATGATAGGCCCTTAGGGGTTCTGCACAAGGAAGCAGCATCTGTGGGAAGTTCCAAACCTGACTTTATTACGTAGTTAACGTAGACCAGAGCTGTGCAGGTGTGCCCCCTTTATTTGGAACTGAAATCGCAGGGAATGCTTTGTGTATTGGCTCGAATTAGCGTGGCTTAGCACTTTGGTTGGGCACAAACGGAAGACAAGGGGACAAGGCGTGAAAGAGCAATGCAGAATGCCTCCACAAGGAAGGAACAAGTCACAAGACGCGCACTCACCTCGCTCTTCAGACAGCGCCGAGCTTGCCTCCTCGTCACCGCTCCGGTCGCCGTCACAGAGCAGGAGGGCGTCGCCAATCCCACTCGGCAGCGGCCCCGAGTTTGAGTCCGGTGACGTGCCGTCTCCGTCTCGGTGCGTCGTTGTTACCACGCCATCCCCGTTCGCCACCGAGAAGTCCACGCCGCCGTTTGCCAACATGCCGCCCTCTCTCGCCAACGAGTATGACGAGGGAAGCTCCACGTAGCCGCCGCCGTCCGCCGCTGCCGAAATCACCGCACCGCTGGCCGAGAGCGCGCTGCCATGCGGCGACAGCACCGTCAGCGTTGTCGTCGACGTCGGTCCGTTGCACTCAAGCTCTGCGTCGATCGTCGAGTCGCACTCGCCTGGCGGCGGCGAGAGCACCCCGTTGGTCTTGACCGCCAGTGTGTCGGCGCGCGCCAAGGCAGCCGAAGGCGCGAAGCCTGCGTTGAACCTAAGTCGGTTCATTCGCACAATGCCTGGCTTGAGGACGGAGTTGGGCTGTGAGCAGTGGTGGCGGTACTCGCGGCGCAGTACCACGTCTCCGTGAAACGCCGTGCCGCCGCCACCCGTCGGGATCAACGTGGGCATCCGGTGGTTTCCGCCCACTAGGCCGCCCAGCTTGGCGGCCGCAAGCGCCACCGGAACGTCTAGTTCCGATACGTCGAACACCGGTGCACATGCCTTCTTCACCGCGACAGGGTCCACCGAGATGATCCGTGCCACGGGGGACACCCGGCGCTCCTGCACGCTCTCCACCAACACCATGTCGTCGTCCGTCGACTCGACGTGGTTCGTCGTCGCTGCCTTAGCGCCGCCGACCCCTTCTATTGCACTGTTGTTGTTCCGGGACGCCAGGGCCGTCATGGCAGCGGATGCGGGCGAGTGGCAGGAGCGAGGCCTGACAGGCGACGGCCTCTGAGCGTCATCGTCGGGCTCGTCGTTGTCTTCGGAGGAGTGTAGCGTGCCGTTGGCTTCGACCATGAGCACAGGCTGTGCACGGACAGTCCGGTGCGGGGCAGTGCGCCCGTCGGGGGCGCCCAAGGCACTGTTGGCGGCGCCGTTGCCGGACCGCGGCAGGGCGGAGGAGGAGGAGGAGGCGGAGCCATCCGACGACCGGAGGGCGTGAGGTAGTTCGGGCCGTTCCTGCGGCGGGCTTCCTCCGTCTGCACGAGGCGCAATTGTGCGTAACGGCTCTTTCTATCCTCTGGTTCACCTTACTTACGATGGGCAGTAGTGATTGCTACAAGCCATACCAGCCAACCAAGTGATGGGAACGTATCATCCGACTATGCGTGCCAAGGACACGCGACACAAGCACAGCATTGGATTGGATTCGATGGCTTCTAGCGTCGTCTGTGGTCCGTCGTAAGGTAGAAGGGCTGACAGTTACCTCGCAATTTGTGAAATGCATCAAATGAAACAAAGTTGGCATGTGACAAAACACTGTACAGTTATGAGAGCATCGAACATGAGGGAACATAAAAAATGCCAAATGACGAGACTGATGCAAGCCGACGCAGCAATTTTTCTGAAGCTCATTGAACACAAGCGATAATGCTCAGAAAAACATTTAAAGAAAATAATTTTTTTGCTTGCAAGTAAATCAATAAGAAAAAGAACTTGCACAACGGTTAGGGAAGTGCCTCAAAACTCCAACTTGCTGCCACACCCTGTTTTATATATAAGAAGACATAGTGGGCTTCATTTCAGGAGAGCTTACAAAACGAAGCTCCAGTTGAAGCTACGCAACTGCATCGATACATTGCGAGCTGTCTCGCACCGTACCCTTCATAAAATGCGGCAAATCAACAAAGTTGCCGCACGATGATCATCGAATTCAAGCCCACGCAAAAACCTAAAGCTGCAAATTGAAAGCCATTCATAATCTCTGCAGGTTCACTAAAATCCTCCTCCACCACCGAGTTGAAGCATACCGTATTTGCACGAATATAACGCGAGTTTTCTTTTCCATAATTACGTGCTCCAAAACGCACCTCACGTTATATTCGGATTCAAGTTCAGCCACGAGGCGCGCGAAAGCCAGAGGAGAAACCCATCTAGTTCTACTCAATGCTGGGAAAAGAAGTGGGGGTGTGGGAGGGAATTAATTAGCTACTGGGCCACGTGAAGTGGTGAATAGAAAACATAAAAAGCATTTTTATTGCTGTGTTTGTAAAACACGCGCCCGCAGAAACGCAACATGCGTGCCATGCGAGCACTGGCCAATTCAAGCCAAGCCAGGTCAAGTCAAGTCGACACAAGCCAAGCCAAGACCACCCACCGCATTTACGCCATCGTGCTTCATGCAACGCGAGGTGTTTGTTTATGCGGAAGGACCACAACAAGAAGTGTGAGTGCAACGCGAGGTGTTTGTTTATGCGGAAGGACCACAACAAGAGCTGTGATCGTATATCGGGTTCAGCAGTTTTTTTTCTGCCTGCGCATCTTTTTAGTTTCTGCTCCAGAGTGGTCTGGTGTTTGTGCATTGGTGCTCCTGCTTCGTGCCTTGCTTTGCTTATGGCTGCCAAGGAGCTCATGCAGAAGAAAAAGGAACTACCGCACAAGCGGTGCCATGCTGCTGCTTATTTGCGTAGTTGCCAAGTGGATTGTAAACGGAAGGACCTGAGCAGTGAGGATGAGTGCAGTCAAAACATGAACTGATATTTCTTCTATTTTCCGTGCCTTTTCACTTCCGCTATGCCCCTGAGTGTGGGAAATCAAGGCGACTTTGGCTCGCATTATAATAGTAACAATATTTTTTTTTTCTTTTTAAGGGCATCAAAATTTGCCCTCGCGTCATATTCGTGCAAATACAGTAGTCGGCGTCTCCCTCGCAACAAATCCCGAAAGGGCGAGCAATGGAGGCAGACGCTCACCTCTGACGGACGAGTCCGCCTCGGAGCCGCAGGAGGAAGCCAGGGGTGAGCTGGAGGGGCACCATCGCGGGGTGGGCGGCACCTTTGTACTCTGGGCGCACGAGGCCCCCGGGAGGGCACAGGCGGGTGTCGTCCTCGCCGCAGGATGCGACGACGACGACGAGGGGGGACACCTCATGGGATGCTGAAGGTGCAAGGGCGTGAGCACCACCGTCGGCGACATCGACACCGGCACCCTCACGATGCCGCCACCCGACAGCAGGCTCAGCTCCCGCAGCCGCTCCGACGCCTTGTCGCGGCCGCGGGTGCCGCTCCGGCAGCCCCTCCGCGATGACTCTTCCGACGAAGAGGACGTCGAAGATCGCGGGGGCCTCGGCGGCCGCTTCTTGGGTGCCGCCACGTCCGCCTTGTGCGGACTCACGACCACCGCTGCGTTGGGGCCCCGCAGGGAGATGTGGAGGGGCGGGACACGGGGCGGCTCCCCCGTTGGGGACCGTGGAGATGACGGGGGTGTCTCGGAACCCGGCTGCTGCTGCTTCACCGCGGTCGCCACGACGACGCTCCGCTTCGCGGAGGAGTCCAGCTTCAGCCTCAGCTTCAGCTTCTCGCCCTCGGGAGAAGCGGCCGTCACCGCAGCAACGGGCCGCGCCTCCTCTTCCCGCGGTGGGGGTTCCGGGTCGTTAGACGACTGCGAGGAGGAGGACTTGCCGATGCCCGAGTCGGTGTCCGAGGACGGACACGCCGAATCCTTGCCACCGTCCGAGAGGCTCCGCTCCGAGTGACCCCCATTCTCCGAGGACTCCGACGTCTCGGGGTCCCGGACTGCGGTCTCCTCTTCCTCCTCGTCCGAGGGCATGGGTTCCAGGTGTCCTGTGAAGGGGTTGATTAGGTGCTTCGTGACGCGTGCCTCAGCGGGAGGTGACGAGCCTGCCGACGTCGCCCTCGGAATTGTGGTGCTTGCGCAGCGCGGCGGGGACAGGGGAATGTGCGGGAAGCCGTGGCCCTGGCCCGAAAGCGGGTCGTAGCCGGGGCTCGCCGGTGAGGAGGGCGAACCAGGGGGAGAAGAGCCATCGCGAACACGGGCGCTCCGCGGGGGCCGCCGCTTCCGCTTGGGTTGCTGACCCGTGTCGAGGGGAGGCGGCATCATCAGCTTCTGCGGGAGCGCCCCCGCGCCGCCGGTCTCACTTTGCAGCAGATTCACAAGGAGCGGGCTCGAGAGCGCCACGTTGCCGCGGGACGCCGCAGTTGTTGTCGTCGCTGTGCCCCGCTGTGACGCCGCCGCTGCCGCAGCCATCGCATTGAACTGGAACCGACTCGCCGTCGCCGCCGCACTGCCGCCACTGCTACCGTTGCTGTTCTGCTTCATGGAGTGGGTCATGCTGGCGAACGGGAACGGGGCACGGGTCGTGCGTGCCCCGGGCCGCACGAACCGCGAATGCGCTCCGGAGAGGAAAGGCAGGGGCTCTCTCGGAGGCGGCGCCACCACGTTCGGCGACCGGAATCCGCCGCTGGTTGAGGCCGCCCCCAGGGCGAAAGGGGCGGCCCCACGGGCCAAGGAGGAATCCGAGGCGGTTCCGCTGGGGCCAGGACGTCCCGTGCCGGGCACAGGGGACGAGGGGCCCGCGGGGGACGAGGAGGGAGAGCCCGGCTCCGCCTCGCCGGCCGCCTTCTGCAGGATGATCTCTTTAGGGGGCTCTCCATAGCGGCCGGCCAGGGTAAGGCTGATGATCTGCGGAACGGGGAAGTCCTCGCGTGAACTCTCGGTCGGGACCGTACATCCGGCAACTCGACGCTTAGGATGCAAGCGGGTTCACAGTCGGTGGCGGGTCAAGAATGCGGTAGATGCTCTGTCTCTGGTGCAAGCTTTCTACCCTTCTACCACACCTCGACACCCTGTGGGCACGTTTAGCCAAAGCACAACAGAAGACAACGAGTGTATGCTGGAGGAAGAGCTTCCACCGCTTTTTAGAACAAGGGGGTTTACCAAAGGAAAAAAAGCTTGTTTCTATCAGCCACCTGTGACTTAGATACCCACATGTCACCCAGACTTGATCAAAATTACTAAATACTTTTAGCTGTACGAGGGTTCTCGGAAAATGATTGCAAAAACAACAAGTACCTTTTTATATAGTACACTAATTATAAACTGTAATTTCAATCCCCTCATCAAGCAAAACCATCCTCCTCTCTCCGTAGTGAAAATTCAAAGCTTGGTTACTGCATACCTAATTTACTGACTACAGCCTAACTCTCACAGTCAGTAACTCCTTTCTCTCTACTCAAATACTCCGATGATCTCCAGACGGGGGTGGGGGATGACCCATGGAATATAGGAAGCTGAAGCACTTCTCAAGGAATCCGAGTTAGGAGTGGACTTGTACGGCTCTTTGGCCTGTGAATTCGGTTATCGAGCTTCACATGGGCAGATGCAAACATAAACCTCATTTATTTCGAAAAATGTGCGCGGGAATCGCTACAGGGCGTGCGGCAAGCCTTTCTGCCGCCTGCCATCTGTCCGAAGCGTCGTGACGTCATCATCGGCACCCCCGCACCAGTTTAGTGGCGAGCGAGGGTCACGAACACCGACGCCGACGTCACTTTTCCTAGTTTTACTCTCAGCACTCGCGCTCTCCTGCGCGGGCTACGTCAAACTTTTGTTTGCCCATAGTGACGCTCCCGCTAGTAATATGAGAAGAGAACTTAAGACACATAATTTTTAACATGCCTGCCGTAATATCCCCAGAGACACCCCACCCCCAAAAGATAACCCGGCCCATATTTCTGGCGTGATTTGCTACTTTTTCTCAAGCACCGAAAGATAGCCCACTTCTAGTAATCGTAGTGTTGGAATCAACGATGGCCAGGCTCTTTAAATTAACCAAAAAATTTGGTTTCTTAACCTAACGCGCTACGACTTTGTGCAGCGTTGCTTACAGATGGTGAATTTTTTTTGTAAAATTTGCAAAGAGCAAACTTACCTAAGGAAAAAGTAAAGCAAGAAAAAGGCTTAGCTCCTATGGAAACGCAGCGACGCCACCGGTCTTCAAACAACACGGCGCCGTTTCGCACGGGGGACAAGAGATGGCAAACGAACGCCGCCAACGAACGAGCATACGGCGCCGAGAGCCGGAGTTTTTAGTAGACAACCTTTTCGACTCAACTCCGCAGGCGGCGTCAGTCGCAGAAAGAAAAACAGGCGCGATAACAACAAGGCGCTGGAGTTCCTTGTCTGCTAAAGACGCTGGCTCTCGGCGTCGTGTGCTTGTTCGTTGGCGGCAGTTGGCATTGCGACCGCTTGCGCCATCTCTTGTCTCCCGTGCGAAACGGCGCCGTGTTGTTTAAAGACCGGTGGCTTCGCTGCGTTTCCATTGGAGCTAAGCCTTTTTCTTTCTTCACTTTTTCCTTAGGTAAGTTTCCTCTTTGCAAATTTTTGCAAAAAAAAATGCACCATCTGTGGGCAACGCTGCACGAAGTCGTAGCGCGATAGGTTAAGAAACCGAATTTTGCGGTCAATTTAAAGAGCCTGGCCTCTCCTTGAACCACCCTGTAGTTAGCTAAGGTGGGACACAAGCAAACATTGCAGACTGGGAAGTACAGTCATCCTGGCTTCTTCGTTCTTTGCTGTGATGACGAGTGTGGCAGCGACAATGATCTAAAAATAGCAGTGTTGTACGGAACGGCATTCCTGGAACGCGTTCCTTTTAGGAGGAACGAAGGAACGCCGCCATTCCATTTTGCATCGCTGGAACGGGAACACGTTACATTTTTACTGGAACGGAAAGAGGAACGGCGTTCCTTTTTTTTTTTCGTCCAGTGAGGTAATTTTTATTTTATTTCGAACAGGGAAATTTTAGGAGTACAAAGTGCAGGATCTCGTTACTTCTTTGGCTACTAATCTTATGGATTATTTTGTGTGGTCCTCGCTTGCTAACAGTTTTGGGTGCAGGAGAGCTGGTGGGCATTGATTCTTTTTTGAGTGCCCAAAACTGCGGTACAAAAAGCAAGGCTTTTAGTGGTAGGAAAAGACAAAGGAAGAGGGTTGTTTCAAGCTCAGCTACTTCCTTTGGTTCCATGAATCCTCATACACCCAGAAATCTAAGGCCGACTACAGCCACTTGTGAACTTCCGTAACAAGACCTACAGTTACAACGAGATCACAGATTGGCAGACATTGAACGCACCCTTGTATCCCGAACATAGGTCACTTAAAAGATACACACACGAAAAAACTGATTTTTCTCTTGTCCCCCACCTTCAAAATGAACAACCAGGCCAATTTTACAAAGAAGTATTTGAAGGTGAACATTTGAGAGAAGTCTCTCTGGTTGGGGAGCAACACTAATAATAAATAGAATATACACCAACCAAATCCTTGTATAAAGGAAAACCCTACGTTTCGAGACCAGCTCGGTCTCTTCTTCAGGGGTTGACTGCGGCTATGGCCGTTGAGGAGCAGTAATCTGTTTTCTTCTTCTTCTACGGCAGTGTCTATCGTTTTGCATCGGTGAGGTGGCGAAGTCCGTTCACGTAGCCGGTCGGCAGAGTGCCGAGGGATCTATTTATGTTTTCTGGCGTTGTTTGTATGTGCCAAGATTCAATAAAAAGTCTATGTCTGGGATTGGTCTCAACAGACCACTTCGAGGTCTGTCAAACTACCTTCACCAGACTCTTTCACCTCTCGTGGGCAGAACGACGACCCATATACGAAATTCCAGCGACTTCGTGGAACAGATTTCGACGTTGAAGGTGACCACCGAAGAAAGTCTAGTTTCCTTCGACGTCATCGCGCTGTTCACAAGCATCCCGGTTCCCCTGGCTGTCGCCACGGCCAAGAACGCCCTTGAAAAAGACCAATCCCTTAGCGAAAGGACAAAACTTAGCGTGGAGGAACTCTGCCGCCTGCTTGAGTTTTGCCTTAAAAGCACCTATTTTAGTTTCAAAGGAGAATTCTTCAAACAGTCCAGTGGAACCGCAATGGGTGCCTCCATTTCCGTCACAACAGCGAACCTATGTATGGAAGCCATCGAAGAAGAGGCGCTACAGTCATTTCACACGGCCCCCAAAGTGTTCTTGAGGTATGTAGACGATTGCTTTTGCATCCTAAAAACGTCGGAAGTGGACACGTTCCTTACCCACCTCAACTCCATCGAAACGTCTATACAATTCACCGTGGAGCATGAAAAGGACTGTACGTTACCTTTCCTCGATGTGCTCGTCAGAAGACAAAATGAAGAGCTCCAGTTTTCTGTCTACAGAAAACCGACACATACTGGACGCTATCTCCATTTCCATTCCAATCACCCAGCCTGTCACAAGGCATCAGTGGTCAGAACACTCTTATCTAGGTCAAAAAATATCTGCTCATCCGAGGCTGACCGTAAAAAAGAGGAAAACATCATCTTCGCCGACCTACAACATAACGGTTATACAAGCAGCTTCATCCGCCGCATTGCGCGTGATCAAGCCCGAGATCGCCGACACCTGCAACTCCCAGCAAGTACACAGACCCGTCGTATCTCACGCATCAGCGTTCCTTACATGAAAGGTACAAGCGAGGCGCTGGCACGTGTACTGGCCAAAGAAGGGATCCAGGTGGCCCACAAGCCTATGTCTACGCTTGGAAGACTCATGCCCCGTCCAAAGGATCGCCCGCCTAAGGAAAAAGCACAAGGCGTCGTTTATAAAATTCCATGCGCGGACTGCCCGGTCACATACATCGGGGAAACGAAGAACTTTCGGGAGAGAATCCGCCAGCATATGAACGATGTTCGGAAGTTCGACCATGAACGAAGCGCCGTAGCTGAGCACTGCGACGTCAGAGACCACAAAATTGACTTTGCCAACACCAGCATCCTGGCTGTTGAGACCAATCCCAGACATAGACTTTTTATTGAATCTTGGCACATACAAACAACGCCAGAAAACATAAATAGATCCCTCGGCACTCTGCCGACCGGCTACGTGAACGGACTTCGCCACCTCACCGATGCAAAACGATAGACACTGCCGTAGAAGAAGAAGAAAACAGATTACTGCTCCTCAACGGCCATAGCCGCAGTCAACCCCTGAAGAAGAGACCGAGCTGGTCTCGAAACGTAGGGTTTTCCTTTATACAAGGATTTGGTTGGTGTATATTCTATTTATTATTAAAGAAGTATTTGTAGTTTTTAAGACTGACCTTCCAAAAGGCCTACTCTCTCCTTTACTTGCCCGTCTTGCGGACAGCAACATTGAGAAGCAACTGTTGTTAAGCTCGAACAATGGACTTTGTTCAATTGAAACGTGTGAGGTTGTTGTAAAACGCTTGTGCAATGTTGGGTAAAAAAGTACATTCGGCTCGTCTAAGTCGTCTTTTACAAACATGAATATGGTTGAAAGCCGAGATTTAACTTGGATATATCAACAAATGAAACCCTGCTTCCGCTTGTTTTCTTCTCCTGTTGCCCTTCCATGACGATGTACAAACTTGTATGTTGACTACTAATGGGATAGATTAAAAAAAAAAAAAACTCTGCTTGATTTAACTAAATATAGTTATTAGCAAAATACAAATGTAATGTATATGTAACGATACGTTCCATTTTTTAAACTGTAACGGGAACGAGTTCCTTTTTCACAGATGTAACTTGTAACAGGAACGCGTTCCAAAAATCAGAAGGAACGAGGAAGAAGCTTTCGTTACTTTTTTTTTTTTGAGGAATGTGTACAACACTGAAAAATAGCAGGTTCACTCCCAATCTGCTCTTGATTTTAGGTGGGCTATCTTTCGGGACGCTATGGTACATTAAATCTGTTATGGTTTCTTAGAGTTCAAGAAACTCTTGAGCTTCCCTTTAACGTTTCGTTTTGCTCGACGCCGAATGTCACCCGAGCGAGTTGAGAGGGCGGGGGGATCCACATACCTGGTCCCCCTCGAGCTGCACGGACAGGATGCCCAGGTCCCTGAGGGCCCGGTCCCCCCGCTCTGCCAGCTGGCGCAGCCGCAGGGCCGCCTCCCTCGGGAGCGTGAACGTCACCCGCACGCTGTTCCACGGCTCCACCTTCTTCACCCAGAACGGCTTCTCCTCTGCAAACGGACGGCGGGTGAGGGGTGTCAAGAACGAGAGCGGCCCTCCAAACGGAACGAACCCTTCCGACGTCCTGTCACTGGTGTCCCCTTACGCCTAGACTACGATGCATGAAACGCGCCTCCGCGTCCTGTTCCGCCCACGCGCCAAAAGTGGCCCCAAGTGGCAACGGATGACAAAAAGCCCGTCGGATGTAGAGATCCTGGCGGTCGGCCATAGAAGTTCCGGCAAAAAAAGCCCGAGCAAACGCGAGTGGCGCCGTCGTCGCAGCGTCCCAACCCCTGGCTGCCAAAGCTTCCGTGGACCATCGAGAAGGAGGTCGACCCGCGGCAGAACTCGGGGCGTCTGCCAGCTCCATCACCTTCTAGGACGTCATCGGGCAGAAATCGAAGGACCACTCTCTTGGATGTGATAAGCGCACCGGTCCGAGACGCGTTCCAGGCCTCCTTCAACGACACCCTTCACTATAAACGACCTGCTCGGGTTTCACTTACAGACCATGCGCACGTCGGGGAAACACGGAAATGAGAGGGCAGGTCCAATTCACCGCCGAATAAGAATACGCCGGGCAGTAGACTCACCATCGGAGATGAGCTCCCGGAGCCGTAGCACGAGGCTCTGAAGCCGTCCGGGAAAGGCAGGGTCGCGCAGGTCGCCCTCACAGGTGAGCACTGTGGTGGCTAGGTCCTGCTCTTCCCCCGCCTCCATATCTGCGCACAAGAAAATGAAAGGGGTTACCCTCGATACGAGGGACCTTGGGACGCCCACATCTGACGCAGAGAGATAGGAGACATTGTCAAACCCTCTGCCCAGTCACCCATGTGACTCAAAATGTTCCGAAGCGGTTTCAATATTTTTGCCCGTGTTCCTCAATCCAATCGTTGGAGCATTACATGACAGCTTGAAAGCTTTCCTCTCCCCACCCAGTGGACCTTAGAGATTTGGGAGATTGGTGGCCAAGTGCGTTAAAGCAACCCGGAGCACGTGAAGCAAACGCTGGCGCTGGGTTCAGCCCCCACCCCTGCAAGTTTCAAACTGGATGAACATCCTACCGGTGCCCGACTATGTGATGCACATTAAAGACCCCAGGCTATTTATTGGCCGTAGTGCACTTGCTAAATTTCTCGTCTACAGCTTCAATTAGCGTCGCCTACCTCAAAGGCAGACCAACCTTATGCTGTCTAAACAAGAATGTCACAGTTGCTCTTCTTTCTTTTGTTGGATACCTTGTAGGTACGGCAGAAAGCTCATTTATGAAAGATCCTTGCAAATACAGGCCCACATTCTGCATTCTTGGCTTTGAAGGACACATGCAAAGGAAAAAAACTTTTTTTTAAACAGCCGGGTTGGGAAAACGAAGTCATAAAACAAATTTACAACGAAAAATAAAAATTTTTAGAGCTATATTTGAAGCGCTATACAAATTTGCAGTTGGCGCCCGCGGGCGCCGCGGAAAAGTGGCCCATATTTATCACGTGACTGGCCCCTATTTGTCATGTGGTACTTGCAATCTTTCGGAAGCTTCCTATGGTCTCGAAAAGTTACTTATTCATCTTCATTTAAAGTGCAACAAAAAACGAAGAATAACAAGTAACTTTTAAAGCCCAAAGGAAGCTCCTGAAAAAGCACAAGCAGGTGTGATAGACCTGTGCGCCGGTCAGATGACGGCCGGAGCACACAAACTTGCGCGGCAGCGGCGGCATGGAGAAACGCGTTGAAGCAGCGGCGCACAATGCTCAGCGTGCGGCGGCGGCGACGCAGCGCGGCGGCGCAAAGTTCTACCACGTGACCAGCGGCGGCTCCCGCGGGCACCAACTGCAAATTCGTTTTGCGCCATAAATATACCTCTAAAAATTTTCTTTCTTCGTTGTAAATTCACTTTATAACATTCTTTTTCCATCTAAGCTGTTTAAAATAAATTTTTTTCCTTTGCATGTGTCCTTTAACAAGAAACATAAAAGGTTACAAACAATGTTCTAGGAGGAGTTGCACACAATGCTCCAAAAACTCCTTTTTCATTTTTGTCGTAGGGACCACACACCCCCAACAATTAGTGACATAGCTCGACACTTGGTAGGCTGACAACAAAAAGAAATTTGAGCCCACATTCATGTGCTCGGATTTCTTTGCATCATTAATGGGTAGTCCTTCACTTTATTTCTGCCTTTATTGTTGTTTTTTTTTAACAAGAAAGAGCAATGCAACTATGAAAGCCTTCGGAGCCTCTGAAGGTTACATGTGCAGTGCAAAAAACAAATAGTCACCATTGCTGCTGGTTTTATTATAGTAATAAGGTACTTAAAATGCTGCAAGGTCCCGAGGCACTTCAAGCAGACAACTTCTTTACTACAGAACACTATGTACAGACTGAACAGCGTAGGTTTCACTAAAAATAAACCTTCCCGTTCCACACAGTCCCAACCAGTAACCAAAAAATTCCCCATTGGGAATGCGATGGCAAGGTTTGACTATGCCCGCCATGTCATTCGCATTTGCATTTTTTATTTGCCTATAAAACACACGGAGGTGTTTAACTTGAACATATGGCTTCGAAAAATGCTTTAGTGATGAAAATGCTCATACTGGATGATAGCACTAGGTACACACGCCCCCAAATTTCAGCTTAGTACTTCCAAAACTCTCTAGTTACATACAAGTTGCCAAAGTGACATGAAAAAGGCCTACGACTACCCAGAAATGCTTAGCTCACCCCTGTAAGCTGCTCAAGAATGCCTGAAACTGCCCAGAAGCCCCCAGTCTCACAACGGGACCCAAAGCAGAGGGGGTCTATATTCAAGTCTTTGCCCCTCTCAAAACCAGCCTACCAAAGACCATTAGCTTAAACAAAAATCACTATATTCATCTCTAGTAAATAAGTAAATTCTTCACGAGCTAAGGCATATACATGTCTGGCACGAGGGAAGTTAATTCTAACAATGGTGTCCTTGTGCACCTCAGTGTCAACCAAGTTTGGATGTTGTATACTTCGTCTCACCTTAGCATGGACTACTGTTAGCCACGCGTGCCAAAAGCCCAAGCTAGTTGCTTTGGATGAAGCCTCGGGGACTGCACGAGCGCTCGTGCAGCGAGTGCTCCAGTCAAGGCAGTCGAAGCTAGCCGCTCGCAGTTAGTCCGTGCTAAGGTGAGATGAAGTATAGCACCATGGCCAACCACAAAGAAACAAGCAGCAATTAATGGCATCAGATCAAAGTTGTTCTCGATGTTCCCACAGACAATGCGTAACCAAAGAAGACCAAATTCGTGACACATTTTTGTGACAGGAATGCTGCAGAAGATGCATCGCTAGCTGGGCCCCATTAGCAACAAATTACACACATAAACAGCACTACTTTATGAAATGTGGTGTGACATACGACCGTGTGAGAAATTTTGTTTCCTTCCTTGTGGCAGAAGGCATTGTCATTAAAGTAGTTTGTGAACACAGCTTTCTTCTTTTTTTTTTTTTTTTGCGACAACAGTGGCTGATTATTTAAATTTTTTTTAAGCGATAACAGGAACATAGTAAACACACACAAAAAAAAAAGTCTAAACCCATCAATAATGGCTGCAGATGGTGACATCTTGCTAATTCCTCAGTAATCATAGAATTATCGACTTATAATCGATAGAACCACCGGTTTGTGTCTTCAGGGTAGAAGCACAAAATAAAGTAAACATTAATTCTTTAATTTCCCTAGCCCTCCTAACGTTTCACACAAATTCCAACCTTCCTCCCACCATTTCCTGTTACCAAACACTCCAGTTATTCTAAGAAACTTAGTAGATCTCACAAGCTCCATTGAATTGCTACTCTGATGGCCAGACTTTTGCGTAACAGAAAAGTTACACCAAATTTTTATTTGCCTCCATTCCGACACATCCCACCATCATGTAACAGCGAAGCAGACTCACGAGCGAGAGCTGTCAAAGCGACGCAAGGCCCATAATGATACAACCAATCGGCAAAAAATATCTGCCAGTTCAACGCTGGCGGAGTAGTTCTGCCGACGACGATATCTCTGTCGTGCAACCGTCAAATAAATTTCACATTAGAAAAACGGAACTCTGCCGGCACCCATCGCCGTAGAACATATTCAGTCAGAATTTGTTTTCGGTTATGCCAGCCAACACAGGGGAGAGATCAAAGCATCCCCTCTTTGTGCCTATCTATACTCGGCAGTGATCCTACAATCCTACCTTTAAAAAGCGACGTGGCAGCGATAAGAAAAAAAAAAAAAAAAAATAGAAAAAAAAAATTATGTTAGCGCCAGATGCCCCAGCTGCATGGAACAAACAAACTCACAGTTGCAATGCCACCGCGCGAGAGCACACGTGCGAGCACAAATTTATATCCAGAGAAACAAAAGGAAGGCATCTTGTAAACGAACAATACAAATTTACGAGGCAGCACCACGCCATGCGACGGCGAGCCTTTTGCCTACCACTGTCGAGCAAACAGCACTGTGGTCCCAAACAGGACGCACGGCGATGACCACTACGGCCGACAACGGGACCAGAATGGCCGAGCGGTCCTCTGGTTGTCCCGCCGACAGCACAAGTTTCCCATGCTCGATAAACCTTTGGCATCTCACAAGCTCAGAGCGCGCACACACGGCAAATGCACGGCGTAAGGCAACAAGCACTTGCTGGAGACCACGCATTTGAGATGACTGTGACTCTATACTCCGTTTCATGACAACTTGGCGAACTGTGGAGCCCACGATCCAATAAGAGCGTCGGAGCGAAGCATGTGACCAGACGTCACGGGAGCATTTGTGTCACCAACGCCAAATGCGAGGCCCAGAGGAACCAGCTGTCGTCTGCTAGCCAAGAGTCGTCTGCTCCGAAACCAACCAACTTAGGATATTAACAGCCACCACAACAGCATATCCGTCCGCTAGAACAGCAAGCACTTCGGGAACAGTTCACGAGACAACCCTACGCTCAATTTAGCCGTAAACCTGTGACGGGTGCCAATGCCAGGGCACAGTGCGACGTTTTGAGCAAGAACGGCCGATTACACACCTTGCGATCGCCGGCAACCACGACGCTACAAGGCTAAAAAGTCGAGCGGATACGGATGTGGCGTCACTTTTTTGAATTAAATATAATAGAAACTCATAAATTTGTGATTTATTCTTAATTCTTCATATCTTCTCATTATAGATGGAATTGCACAAGTTCAATTGCTGTTAAAAAAAAAAGCCTAGAACTACTTTTTGTTGCGGTCAGCTCTGTTGCTGCAGCAGTAAAAAGGCCTCGGTGGCCTCGACCATGGAGCCCTTCTTATTGGGTCGCGAGGGCCGCAGCCTCCACAGTTCGCCAAGTTATCGTGAAACGGAGTACTATAGAGAAGCAACTGTGGAGCCGTGAAAATCTCCAATCCAGCCGATCGATAAGAGCAGATGCTGACGGCTACTTCCGCGGTGGGAATGGGGGAAAATGCTGGATTCCAGTTTGGACGTTTGTTAGTGGTCTCAAAAGGCGCCATTTGCGTGCTTCTGCCACGCGATTGGTGACAATCAAGGTCGCCCATCCCGCTTCTCCATAAATTGCTTCTGCAGCTAAACCTGGGCAGTTAAAAAAAGAAAAAGAAAAAAAGGACAGATGCTTTTTTAATGAGGGGAGACGAAAGGTGTTGGCATACTAAAGCTCAGAACCTGTGGTGCAACAACTGACGGTGCAGTTGAACCACGACAGTTTTGATATG